AATGACGTCCCCTGCCCTCGATGGCCATCCAGTGCTACCCACAGCCCTGCGGCATCCATCAAATATGTTTGTTTTGTTTAGCACATTTTGATGGCTCACAGCCACCAAACAGTGTCTCCATTGTCCCCATCCACTAAGGGGCACTAAATTTAGGGTACCACTGAACGCATATCCGAGGTTCACCAGGGGTTTCTACAGGAACAACTTTCTTTTTCACCTGTTTTGAAGGGAAGATAACAGAGAGATACTCTGGAAGGAACTAGATTTTTTTTTTTTCTTTTCCAAATTGGCTAATTTCATCTGTAACAAGTCTATGACTTACTCTTACATCATCAAAGTGACTTTGAAAATGTTAGTTTCAAGACAGGAAAAAAAAAAAGTTAAAATTGAGTTCTAGAAACACATTTCAAGTGGACAACTGAATGGGGGCAAAGTCAAAGTCTGACCCCAAGCCTTGTCTTTCAGTATCTGTGTTATTCTGTCACTTCATTTCACCATGAAAACCACAGTCCCTTAGTTGAAGATTTCACTATCAGACTGTGATGAAAACCAAACGCTGGAGGTCCACGTAGGTGACCAGAGGCGGATTCCATTTGCTCTCTGGTCCACGTGACAGTACACCTGAACTTGAGTTATCTATGAACCGGGGAAGCCGCCTCTGGTTCTTTCCCATTTGGGAAGCTCAGCAAAACCATCGGGCACTAGAGTTGACCTGTGGAGGGTCAACTCATCCCCCCAAGCACATGGATTGTGGTGAAGTCAAGGGGCATGTGGTCAGTCGGGAGGAAGCCAAGGTCAACGTGTGTCCCCGAGTGTAGACTGCAGTCTCAACTAGCTCCTGAGCCCTGTGGAGGCTCCATTGTGACCAAAGTAAACCTGCTTCTCAGGAGTCAGTGAGTGTGAAGAAACACACACACACAGTACTCAGTGTGGAGTACCTGGCACAGGCCTCGACAAGCGGCAACCATCAGTGGTACTAGCACACAGATCACACATGGTGTCCTTTTCGGAAAGGACACGAGATTTTAGGGTCTAGGGCAAGTGGAGTTATTCCAACACTGCATGAAACAAGGATCCTTCAAGGCACAGGGCGAGAGCAACCGTTTCATGGCCAACGACTTAAGTGCACCAAGGACGACTCACATTCAGTACATGTGATAAAAAAAAATGGGGATCGATGCCCAGGGCACAGGGCCAGCTTCAGCTGCCCATGGGGAGTCTGGCATTGACATGGACAGCTAATCGTTTGCAACCTTTTCTGTCTTGAAATGACTAAGAATAAAAGGTGCATGTCATGCCTTGAAATGACAGTACTGTCTTGCATGGTGAAACCACAGGCAGGAATGGCCCCAACGTAACAGGAAACATTTCACAAGGCAGCCACCGGAAAGCCAGTGGCTAATGCAGCCTTCAGAGAGGCCCTGTCAATGGGAATCCATCTCACAGCTCACAGAGCTGACCCTTCTGCCAACAGGCTGCAGGTTATTTCACGTTGTTCACTCCAAGATGGATTAGAGGAAAGAGGTCTCATTCTATTGCAGTTTGAAACCCTAACTCGCCTGGTAAAAAGTAAGAGAGAATGTGCAATTCTATCTGATTTGAAGACACTCAACCTGTTTTCAAATGAGAGTGTCCAGAGTTCTGTCTCCATCAGGCTACCTGGCTGGGGGCTCATCTCAATTCCCCTGGACTGCATTTCACTGACCGGCGGAACCAGGAGGGGAACCAGAGGAAGTCACTGCAGCCTGCATCCCTGGAGGGCACTGCTGACCCATCAGTCTGAAGGCAAGGCCCCTCCAGCTCCACGAGCTTCTCTGCTCCCTTCTGCTTCCTGATGTGATGCAAACCTGCTGGCCCCTCCAGAGGGGCAAGCCTGCAGCCTGGGGACCCCACCCCTAAAGCTTTGTGCAAACACTCCTACAATCCCATGGCTACCCTACACATTGTCAATAACTTTCCCAAAGCATCATTTAGATTACTATGAGCGAGATGCTACATGAGCAAGGAAGTTGGAAATGTACATAACAATAATCTCTAAAATCATGGACAATGCATCCCATAGATACAGAGGTAAAATTTAGAGCTTTTAAGATATAAGGATAATGGTATTATCCATGATTTCTGAAATAATAACAACCCCTCCTCCACCACAAAGGTTATTCTCTTGTGCCTTATCAGCAGATTGGATATTACAAGTCTTTTCAAGAACTTCTATACTATGGTTTCTATAAAGATACATAGTAGAGTATCCTATATATTTTGTCCTAAATAATTTCTAAGTGAATTTGCATGGGAGAAGTTATTCTGATGAAGTGCCTCTAACTCTAGGATGTGGATGGGAGAAGCCTGGTTCTTTGAAACGAAAGGGGAGAGAAAAGAGAGTTGTCTTCCCATTGTCATCTCTCCAGACTTCCAATTTCAAGCAAACTGTCCCCAGTTCCCGTCATACAGGTCTTTCTCGGGGTGGCTGGGCAACATAAGAGAACCCTTATGAGGCCAACTGACCTTCCGCGTCAGCGGGTGGCAGCTGTCTCCCACTTTGCCCATCGGTGTGCAGATCCGGATGCTCTTAACCCAGATGCTCACAGCGCAGCACATGCCTCCACCACACTGGGGGTCCTTGTCGCAGGCCTGAAATTCAAGGAACAAACAGATAAATACAGACGGCGGGAGAGACTCAGGGTGGGGGAATTAAAATTAGAAGGGAAATGCTCCTTAAATATCCAAATGTTATGATTTTAAATAACCACACACACACACATATACATATATATATTTAAAAAGCTTCATCTGCTCGCACATATCCACAATAAAATCTGATCAGCATAGATTTTTCAAGAGTAGACTAAATAATGGCCTACACATTATGAACCCTTTAAATAGAAGATTTTTTAAAAAATAAAATCAGCTCTCTTCTTCCAGAGCTTGATGGCTGAATTGGCTTTAAACTTGAAGAGTGAGTCTATATTAGTCTTAGACGGTACGTGGCCATTAGGAACTACATAAATCGAATTGCAAGATTTTGTGACTATTAACTACAGAATACATTGGGCCTAGTTTTGAAAAGAGATTTAAATGGTTTCTAAATCTGGCACGAAGCACTCCAGACCCATAAAGGCACCAATGTAAATTTTAGACGTGTTCGTTTTTCCCTTTCAAATGTTTGCATTTTGGTTCATGAGGCTTGGTGTTTCTCACACCACTGTCGTGACCGCCACCATCTCCTCCTTAAATGAAGAGATCTCATAGGTCGAGAATGGACAGGTCAAGACTCTTGCCTTGTGCGCCTCCTCTTTCAGATGAGCAGCTTGTCAAGTGGAAATGAGTGGCTTAGGGTGTGACTCTGTATCTCACAGTCAGCGCATCCTATAGTTTCAAAGGATTAAGAGGTGCAAGTAACAAATGCAGTGTCCATGGCAGTAACTCCAAGCACATGCTCCCAATATAAAAACCCAAGATAAATACAAGGACTCAGCTATGGAGGAATTTCCATCCTCTGCTGAACAGAGACAATGAAGTCTTTAATAAAATGGATCCAAAGAGTGATTATTTTTTCCTAAAACCAATAAAAAGTGGGATGCTTTGTCTAAATGGTGTGCAATAATGGGTTTTACTTGTGATAAGGTAAAAGCATCTCATGCTATACATGTAAGAGCCTACAAAGGCTATAATTTAGGCACAAAGTTAAATGTGCATTTATTGTAAACAACTAAAACAGTCCTTCTAAGATCTCAGTTTTGAGGCCAACCATGACTTCTCAAAACAAATATACGGACATGTTCTTAGCATTATTTTTCATTAAAAGTGAAATATCTTGCTTTAAAGTTTATTTACTTCCTCCTTTAGAATTTTCTCTCTATTTAAATCGAGTATGTACATTGAAAACTACAGTTTTCACTCTGGATGGTTTGGATTTCATGGGACAATATCCAAACATTTGTACGTGTGTCAGAAATCCCGTGTACATGACTTTCACATTCCGTAAGTGAGATGTCCAGTCAACAAACTTTTCCAATATGTTTTAAGAAATCTTTATGGACATATGAATCAATTTCAAAATACCTACATATATTGCTAAAATAAATACTTCGGGTAGAAATCTCAGCCAGTATTTTATTTCAACAGATGGGTGATAGCCTGAATTCTGAAGCCCCACCCACTCTTTTTAGAGCACAATAAAAAATCTAGCCAGAATCTTTTAAACCTCAATCAATCACTCTGGTGTTTAACATTCTCTATATATGTAACACATCTAGAGAAGTCACTAAGTTTTTCAGTTGAATCTAGGTGGTTCCTGTCAGGGAGACAAAAATGACACTTTATTGCCACATGGCTTTAGAGAAGTTGTGTTTTTTTTTTTTTTTTTTTTTAACTTTTTGTAGCACTGAATTAAAACAATAACAATAGCAAGCATAGGACTATGTATCAAGCCAAGTCTAAATCTCTGTAACAGACAACCAAGGTGAGAAAATGTTCTTTTGTAATAAAAGGTTCAGCTCTTGGACAAAACTTAGGAAGAAGTAGATAAGTTTATCTATTTTTAATTATCTGTTTCCTAATGCCCTTCATCCCTAACCCATGCAGACCCATTCAAATAGTGCTGTCCTGTGAATAGAACAAAAAGATACTTATATAGCAAAGGAACCTTGGACACAGGATTAGTAGACATTTAAAATGAGCCAGCAGGGAAGAGGGAGGAGAAAGACTCCACAATGTTTCAATTCTCATGTGTCAAAAAACCCCCTAAGTCCTTTTGTTCAGCCACACAGACTGGCCACTGACAATCTATACAGATAATTTGTTTTAAAAATACTCTAATAAAACCACAAGTTTATAATTAAATATCTTTTGGGTCTGACCAAATGCTGTCAGCACTGTGACCAATTAGAACAGAGAGTTAAGCCTTACTGCATTTCCCAATACATCATTTCAAATACATGTGTTATTTAAACACACAAAATGCACTTTGATGTTTCAAGTAACTTAATGAAATAAATGAATTTAACGCAATGAAGCAAAATACTTTAACACTTAGGAAAAGAGTGGAACACAGGCACAACCAGCAAACAGCAGCGGTTTTGCAGTGATGATGGTGAACTACAAGAGGCTTTTAAAAACTGTGTGCTGTAAACTCATTCTTCAGATTCGCCTACGGACCACGGCTGCCAGTAGGAGAGGACTGAACTAGTGGCTGCTTCCAAAGCCACTCGGGACGCCCTCTGGAAGTTGACACATCTAGTGGCCCAGACTCCATCATCAACGGGACACTTTACAGGGAGAACCTCAAGAATCCAGGAGAAGAGCCTGCGATTGCACAGACACAGCCCTGACCCAAGTGATTTCCAAGGGCTCTTGTGGAGGACACCCGGGGAGCAAAGTCCTTCCATGCTGGACTAGGACCCGGGGACCTGGGGTATTCCTCTTTCCCTCTTGCTGCTTTGCAACTCAGGGAGGGGCCGTCATTAAAATGCAAGGTTCGAGCGGCAACTCTGAGAAGAGTACCTGAGAAGGCTGAGAAAGAGACTTCTTTCTGCCAGACAGACAGACGCGCCTGACAGAGGAGCACAGAGCAGGTTTGCGGGGGAGCGGGGTGAGGTCGCTGGGAGCAGCTGGTGGCGGAGGTGGCGGGTGACCCCCATGGCTGGGCAGGGCACTTTCCCCCGTGCGCCAAAGGCCGTCCCGAGCAGGTGTCCCGGGCAGGTGTCCCGCTCGGGCCACGCTGCCCGCGCGCCCTGGGCTCCCGTCCCGCGCCTCCCTGGGCGAGCCCCGGCATGCCCAGGCGACAGGTGCCGGCGGGCGGCTTACCCCGGTGATGACGGCGGCGTCCCCGGCGGGGGGCGTGAGTAGCAGCGGCGGCAGCAGCAGCAGCAGCAGCAGCAGCAGCGGGACGCAGCGCGGGCTCCTCATGGCGCCCCGGGCCGCGCGGCGGTTGGGGCGGTTGAGGCGAGGAGAGGAGCAGCGGCGGCTCCCGCGAGCCTCCGGCGGTTATAAAGGCGAGCCCGCCGTGACTCACGCCCGCCCGGCAGCACGCGGGCACGGCGCGCCACACGCCCCGCGCGCCCCGCGCCCACCCCGCGGCCCGCGCCCCGGCCGCGCACGTGCCGGCGCCCCGCGCGCCCTCGGGTGCCACGCTGGCAGCGCCCCCCACACGCGCCCAGAGCTGCGCTCCTGGGGTCTCGGAGGCGCTCGGTGGCTGCCCTGTTTCCCAAACCCCACGTGCCAGCGCCCGCAACTTGCAGATCATTTGCTCTGCAGATGTTAGGGAGCGCCTAGTATGTGCCAGGCGCCCAGGACACAGGGCGCGCGGGCTGGGACACACCGAGGCCCCAAAACTGTTCCCGCGTTCAGCAAGTGTGCTCCAGGCGCCCACTGCCTGCCAGGTACTGCACCCGCTCTGTCCCACGGCAGAGCAACTTAGCAGAAAGACAGACAACCAACAAACGCCCTGGGAACGTGGAGGGCGGGGCGGGGGTGGGTTGGGGGAGAACAAAGGGAGCGCAAAGCACCCCTGATCTCACACCCCGACGACCGGCATGCCGAGGGGTTGGTCCTTAACAGCTGTGCAGCCTTAGGTCTTTCCTTTGGAATGCCTTCCCTCCTGCTCACATCTGTACCCAGCCCTCTCCTCCCTGATCTCCTCACTGCACTCTCTCTCTCTCTGCAGCTTCGCGCCAGTCCCAGGCAGAACAATGCAGACCGATGCCAAGGGGAAATGAGAATGCCTGGCTTCCTGTGCCAGTCTGGGGCCCCCTTAGCCCCAGGTAGGCAGCTCGCTTGCTCTTGAATTTTCCAGGCTAGGAAAATCACTCTTCAGTTTTTCAGGATGCCATATGGCATGACTGTGATACTTTTACTCAGGCCAACAAGAACTGTCTACTGGGTTCTAGACTTCCACGGAGAGGACCAGCCACAAAGTGCACCCCATCTCCGACCCTAGGGTCCCCCAGCCCCCTGTTCACCTTGACAAAGTAGGCATTGCCACACCAGACCTGCTGGCTCCCTGGTTTTGGGATGCCCAGATTTTCCCCAATGGCCAGGATCTCTGCTTTCCCCTGTCCCTTAAGGACCACAAGTTGTTGAAAAGCAGATGTGTCTTTCAGCCTCTTTAATAAATGCAGTAAGGAGAGCTGGGACAAAGTTTCAGACTGTGGGGCTCCCTCATGCCAAAGCATTCAGACAAACTGTAGGGGAAAAAAAATTAGAAAAGATGAGGCAATTATCCGAATGTCAAGCAGCTGAATATTTAGAAAACCAAATCTTTGAGGGACTTCTAAAGCCTTTTTTTAAACACATGTTTTCATGTTTGAGAAACATCCTGGAACAGAAAACACAAAAGGAATCAACCTTCCCCCCCCCCCTTTTTTTAACTTTTAAAAAACTGTTAAAATTGGATTCACAGTAAAATAAGTGGAAACAGTAGCAAGTGGCAGACTGGTGGAAAGTTTCCTTCCTGTCTCCATGCCAACGGGAGCATGGAGCACTGCCGGGTAAATGCAAAAACCAGTCCACGGAGACTTCAACATTCCTGCATTTTTTTTTTTTAAATAATGGTCTATTTCATATTTTCTACTATTAAATTAAATGCCAGGTTGGGTATTCCCTGCTTCTCCAAGCCTAGAAAATAGGCTCTGTCTACATAGGAAAAAACCGATTTCAAAGTGGCTGGTTTCTTACAGGGCTGTTGGGAAAACCATCTTCATAAGGCTTTTTTGAAATAAGTTTGGAAATACTTAAAAACAGGGTTGGTTTGTTTTAATGTTGCTTCTTTGTGGACTCTTCTCTGCCCTCTTCCCTTTCTGTGCTGGGGATCAAACCCAGGGCTCTGCACATGCTAGGCCAGGGCCCTCACACTGCGCCACATCCCCAGCCACCCTCTGGGACTTTTAATTGTTTTATTGCTGTACAGAAGCAGTGAAGGCTCTTGATACAATGCTTTGAATTGGTGGCCGAGTCAGAAAATTGAGTCTGACTTCAATTCTTACAAATGGAAAGATGAAAGAACGAGTTTGGATTAGTCCATATAATAACCTAGGAAGACAGACCTACCAACAATGAAATCAAAATTGAAGAGTCGCTTTCTGTTCTGTTCTATTACCTCGAATGGTTGATACTGCCCCCCTATCATGGAGCCCAGGAGAGCCTGCAGGAGAACCAAACCTGTGTGTTTGGGAGTATAGACCTGCATCCCCACGGCGGCTGAGGCTTTGCTGAACTGAAGGCGTGATCCAGCCGGGTTATGTGCTCATGAGTCAGGTGGACCTGGACAGGAAACCTTTGTGACCACTGGGCAAGCCCCTTGACCTCTTTCAGCCTCTGTTTTCTCCCCTGTAAAAGGACAAAAATACTAGTCTCATGGGTTATAGTCATGGGGGTTTAAGGGAACAACCTTCATTGGGGGTTTAAGGGAACAACACCTGTAAAATACTAAGCACAGTACCTGGACTAGATGGGGAGCCCTGTTAGGGTTACCTCTTAGTGAATTTTACTACCTAGGTCTCTGCTGGAAATTTTAACCAACACTGATATAGGTCTTTTCTAGTTTGCTCACCCAATTAGATGCGCACTCCTGATTAGGACTTGTGTCTAATTTCCTGCGAAAGCCTCTTGCACACAGCTTAGAGATACACATACAGCCAGCCCTCAGGAAATAACTGGTGGTCCATAGGAATATATTATTCTGCAGAGGGAAGTCTGGAGACAGGTTGCAAGCAGACAATGCACAGTGTAGATATTTAATTCACACAAATCCACTAAATGTCGTGGACCTGGTGCAGGTGAACTGCCCGCCACTCTGTTCAGAGGACGTATGACTAAAACGAGCTGAGCCGGCAGACAAACCCGTCTCAGCCAGCCACTCGGCGGCCCTGGTTGGTGAAGACTGCATTTTAACATGATGGACAACGTAGGTGGTATAGGAGGTTAAGCTGTGTCCCCCACGAAACTATTTTCAACTCCTAGCCCTTGTCACCTGTGAATGTAACCTGATGTGGAAGGAGGTAGATGTGATCAAAGATGAAGGTGAGGGTGGGACTGGGTTTCAGTGTGTGGTCCAGTGACTCGGGTGTCATCATTAGAGGAAAAGGAGGTTTGGGTGGAGTTGCAGGGGAGACCCACAGAAGGGAAGGCCACCTGAAATTGGAGGCAGACATCAGAGGGACACATCTACAAAGCCAGGAGCACCGGCATTGCCAGCTACTATCAGATCCTGGAAGAGGCAAGGACGGACTTGTCCCCAGTGTCTTGGTGAGGAATGTGGCCCTGTTGCTGGACTTGTAGCCCCTAGGATCATGAAAGAATACACTTCTGAGAGCACCCAGTTCTGGTAAATTCTCCGGCAGCTCCAGGAAGCTCCCACAGGTAGGCAGAGCTGGAAGGCACTTCTGCTTTCAGCGGCACTGCCTGGAATTGATGTCTGTCACTGTTGCTCACATATCAGTGACCGACACAGGTCATGTGACAGCCTGTCTTGAAGGAGACAGGCCAGGCAGATCTGCAGGTTTCTCAGGTTTGTGAAGAGAACCACAATCTTCTGAGCAGCACTGCACCCTGAGGAGGAGGGTCCTCCTGAGCCAGCTGGAATGATCTTAGGAGATATTGTTACAAATGGTAACTTGTTGCTGCCGCCTTCCCATTCTTCCTAGTTCAGTGCTCCTTACACCAGAATCACACAGAGACTCTGAAAGAAGAACGAATGTATGAGCTGGGGATATTTTCATCTAGGCAGGTAGTAAACCACCATTTGTTCATTCATTCATTCATTCAAGGAGGATTTATTTCCTAAGCACATAATTATATGCCAGATATTGAGCACAGCATGATGGGAGGTATTCAATCAATGCTCACTGACCAAATGACTAAAAATATGGAACAGGGCTGATGGGTGGCTCCTGCGCGTCCAGTCAGGAGTCAAGAGGAAGAGATGTAACTGATTCACCCAAGAATAAAAATGAGTGGTGTTTGCTGTTGGTGAAGATAAAGGGTGAACAAGGCAATGTCCACGGGCCTTGAAGACCTCACTGGGGAACGCTGGAGCTAAACCTGGGCCTGGAGAAGGGCAGGCACACAGCCCTGGGCTGCAGAGACAAGGCTGAGCTAAAGATAAGGTTCTGGCCGAGAGGTTCCCCTTAGATTTTCTGTTTTGTTTTAATTTACTCTTTTCACATAATATAGCCACAATGGTAAAAATCTAGAACAGGGGCTGGAAAAATGTGACCTCGGTCTATTTTCGTAAATAAGGCTTCACCTGGACAGTCACATCTGCCCTGTAGAGTCCTCAGCAGCTTTGACACTACAACGGTGGCACTGAGTACTGCGTTGGTTGAGGACTGGTGAGTGCCATTGCTGGGACTGAGAAAGCAAAACGATTACGATTACGGCTTGGCCCTTCACAGACAGTTTGCTGAATCCCGTTTTTGTCTAATTGTCCTCAGGGCAAATGTCTTACCCCTCCTTCTCTTGGTTCTCTTGTGAGGTCTACGCTGGGGCTCTCTCTGTTACTCAGGGAAGTCACCTTCTTCTCGAGTTCTGGGGAGTCGCCCAAAGTTGTGGCTGGTCAGTGGGTCGCAGTCACCTTATCCTGTGCACACCTGCTTCAGTCGCCAGCCACGCAGTAGACGCTCAATAAACACTTGTGGGAAACTTCTCCATGGCCTCAGTAAAGAGAACTTTTATTATTCTTTTAGGTGAAGCTCTATTTTTAAAAAAGTGACTTCAGCTTGCTTGAGGACTTACTTTGTACGTGTCTCTCTTGTGGTTGCTGTTTGTTCGACTTCTGATAATTACAGCATAATAGGTGGGCCTGGTGATTTCATAACTGGATCCTGTTGGTCTTTGTGTAAATGATGTTTCATTTACATGGGTTCCAAAAAAAAGTAGAAGAGCTTTTCTCCTTGTTTCTTCACCTTTTATCCTTTATCACGGTACCATGGCTTTTCTTGTTAACGAACCCATAAAATCTGTCTGAATTATCTTTTTCAAATAATAACTGTGCTTTAAATGTGACATATGAATTGCTTTTATAATTCTAAATAAGCCATCTATTTTAAAACCGAGTTCAATGCTGATGATCTCTCTTTATTTAAAAAAAATAAATCACCAAGATTCAATTTGAAAGCCAATTGTCTATGGAGGCACTAAAAATTATTTGGTCTATTCAAGTGATAATGTACAGTAAAGTTTATCTATTTTTAAATAGTTGAAATATTAATCCAGGAGAGAGCGTTTTCATAAAACAATTAGCACAAGATGCATGAGGGGTCAGGATGAGCATCTGGTTCTAAGAGCTCTGGGTTTTATTCATTAGGATGCTGAATGTATTTAATATTCATTTTTACCATTGAAGATGGGCCTTCAGGCCAAAGCTTATGCATCATGTAGTTTATTCAAAGGAAGATTGTTATGCAAATCTGTAGCATATTTGGGGACTTTCCAGACAGAAAGAGAAAGTCTCATAGAAAAGAGTTTTCTTAAGAACCAGGGCCAGGTAATGACCTCTGTTATTTCAGGTCCAAGCGGACCAGCTGTCTCACGCAACTAAGCTCCACTTAGCAATTTGGTTTCCTCCCTTAGGTTTGAAGGACGCCGATGTCTTAGAGAGGGGAAGCACTTGGAAGGAACAAGAAGACAACTGGGTGTAGGAAATGATGGGCATAAAAAACCTTAGGGTACAAAACAAGGATACAAGCTCCTTTTCGCTTTCGCAGTATGAGCCTTCGCTCACCCCCATGCACCCTGTACCCCGTGGGTAGCCACTCTCCTAATCCCTGTTTCCCAGAGGAACGTGAGATTTGGAGAGATCGGCTGTTTAATGCGGAATCACAATGAGGACTAAGAAGTGGTGCTGGCCCCCACTGGGCTAGCCTGCTCCATAGTTAACTATCCTCAAACGGATTGTGAAACCTCAAGGTAGCCAGTCAACGCCTGTTGTGTGCGTCTCCCCCCACCTCAAACTGAACCCGCCCCCAACAACTGGAGGCCAAGGCCAAGGGACAAATGACAGACTTCTATAAAGGAGAGTTTTTGTTTGGGGATCTTTATTCCCCAGAGAGACCCCCTGAGAAACAGGCTGGTGGAGCTGCTTCGGTGGGAGGGGGTGGGGCCAGCAGAGCTCCTGCTGGGCGTGGCCATTGTCAGGCTTCTAGAGGGGCCTGGGTTCCATCTCTCTCAAGGTCAGTGGCCTGTCTAGGTTTCCAGGTCAGCAGAGGAAGGCGGACCCTGGGCTGAGGACTCCAGCACAGCATCTGCAAACAAGGGCTTCTTCTTAGAGGAGTACTGAATTGTGTGACAGAGATATATAGAGAGAGGGAGAGAGAGAGAGAGGGAGAGAGAGAGAGAGAGAGGGAGGGGGGAGAGAGAGAGAGCAGGAGAGAGAAGAGAGAAGGAGAGACAGAGAGGGAGAGAGAGGGAGAGGGAGAGATACAGAGAGAGAGGGAGAGGGAGGGAGGGAGAGAGGGGGAGAGAGAGGGAGAGACAGAGAGGGAGAGGGAGGGGAGGAGAGAGGGAGAGAGAGGGAGAGACAGAGACAGAGAGGGAGAGAGAGGGAGGGAGGGAGAGAGAAAGAGAAGGAGGAGGAGGAAGAGGAGGAGGAGGAGGAGGAGGAACAAGAACCACAGAGGGCAGTCCCAGGAGAACGGTGGCCAGCCTGAGGGGTCCTGGTGGGAGGAAGTTCCTCCAAGCGGGTCCCCCTTGACCCTGGGGAGCGGGACATTCAGAACACACAGCCACTGCTGCTAGTTCCTGCAGCCCTATGATGAGGGACCCCAAGGGCCTTGCTGAGGAAGAGGCCCCGGAGCAGAGGCCGGGGAGCCCAGGGAGGACGTTCATCTGACCAACGCTCTGCCACTCTGATTTCATGACCCAAACTGTGAGACTTGTCACAGGCTCTTGGCTTCCCCTCAGGGGCTCTGAGTAAGTGTACCAGCTGCGGGGGACCTCGGACAGCCGTCAGTGGATCAAGAGGAGGCCACCTTTAGAGGCCCGGCCTGAGAATGGGCATGTCCTCACCACGCAGCCCACACCAGTGTGACTTGCTCCAGAAGACCAAGGAGCCCGGGCGTGTGGCTGGAGTGCCATCAAAGAGTGGGATTCGACACTGCACTTTAGTTGCATGTGCACAGCGACCAGCACCGTTCACAGTTAAAACTCTTGCACACTCCTATGGAGAGGCTTGCAACTTGGGGCTGGTGAACAGCCTGAAGGGCAGGAGACAGCGAGCTGAGCCCACACATAAAGGGTGACCTGCTCCCAAGGAGATGTGTTGGCCTCAAAGCATATTAAGCAGTTCTGATAAAATGATGATATGAAACATCAAAATAAGCACTTGCTGGTTGCCAGGATTGGAGCGGAGTGTTGAACACGCTTCATCTCATATGATCCTCCCACCCCCTGGGCCATGATCATGACCACAGTGGACAGGCGTAGAGCTCCCGCCATGTCCCAGGCCTGATGCGAGACTCCTAGGGGTCTGCTTCACTGAGTCCTCGAGACCTTGTGATGTCAGTAATAATACTGCCCATCTGTCAGCTTTGGGACTTTGAGCAAGGTCTGAAAAGCATTTCTAATTGACACATACACATGGCCACATTTACAGGTGTGACTTTTTTGGTAGAGAGACTTACAATGTGTCATGATCGAATCAGGGTCATCAGCATCTCCATCTCTCCAACTTGATCATCTCATTGTGTTGGAAACATTCCAAATGGGCTCGACTACCTACCTTGAAATAGGCCTCAGGCTGCCGAGCTGCCCACGGCTGGGACGTGTCCCTCCCACATAGCTCAGTGTGGTACCTGTAACCCCCCCCGCCCCCCCCCCCCCATCCCCTGTGCCAATTTCTTAGCATTAGGAAAACTGAAATGTATGATCTATGCCTAAAAGAATAAGACGTATGAGAAACATGCTCACCTGTCCCAACCCGAAGAATGGACTGAGAGACCAAGGTACAGGGAAAGCAAGGCTTTAATGACATCTGTGAGACCAGGTGACTAGTGGCCAGGGACTCCCAGGGCGTGATGAGCAGCAAGTTTCGTCACCTGGCTCCTCGCTGGCTGAGTGCTGTGGGGTGCACAGTCTTCCTGGACGTCGCCTAGGTGGTCCTGTCTCCTGTTGGGCTATTTAAGGAAGCATACCTTTAGTTGTTCCCACCTCCCTTTGTTCCCTTGTGGCAAGACAGACTTCCTGGGTGAATGCCTTCTGACACACGTGCAGTTCTTCTTTACCTAAGTTACTGTCTCTCAGCACAGAGACTCTCTCTCAGTCAGGTCGACCCCTGCCCCACCTGGGCTGTTCAGGTGCGTGGACTTTGGGTCTGCCACATCTGTAGACTGTGTGCTGTTGTACAGGTCAACTGCCTGTCACTTTCTACTCTGCTCCATTTCCCCTCCAGCTGCCTCCCCGACATCTCAGTTTCACACATAAGGCTAACCGCTGTACTCTGAAATGGGCCGCTGGAATTTCCATTTCTCACACACATGTGCACATGTAAAGAAATAACAGTGATCAGAACAACATCAGCACCACGTGGCCAAGCCCAGCGTTAGCATCAGACACCGCCAGGATGCCGAAGCCCACTCGCGCCCTCCCTAAAACATACTGCACCTTCCCCTGAGATCAGAACACATTCCTGTTTTTTTTTTCTGTATTAACCATCTCCTAATTTGACTTCCGTTGTTTTGCCAGTGACATTCAGACCCCCCCCTCAAAACCACAGCTCTTTCTCCCTTCCCTCCATTCCACCAACGACTCTGCGCCCTTCTTTTTCTCTGCATTCTGAAGTATGTGGTTTTGCCTTTTTGGATTCCTCAGGACTTTCTTTCATTGACCAGGAAGAGGAAGCCCAACTCCATCCAACTAGAGCAAAGGGAAGAGGGTGTGTGGCTGGCCCTGGGGTCCTGCGGGCTCCGCCTCCACAGAGCCCATCCACCTCTGCTCAACACCGCGTCTTAGAAAAGTGCCCTGTTCTGAGCACAGCAGGCACAGTCACCAACAGAGCACAGCTAGCTGCACAGCACTCACACCCTACTGGGTCTTACAGGTCTAGAGATGACCTAAGTCCACAGGAAGAGAGCATATGCCATGTGTGAATGTCACTCCACTCAGGAGAGGGTGCGGAGCATCTCTGGACTTGGTGTCTGCAGGGGTCCTGGAACTAGTCCCCCCAGATACCAAGGGGTCATTATTCTAGAAACCGAGGACCTGGGAAAGTGCAGGCTGGCCTTCAGTTATGCCTCGTGTTGGGCTGGGCCTCTCTGTCAGTCCCCTTTGTGAGGCAGCCATATGGACTCAAGGGACACACCGTCATTCCTCCTGTGTGTGTGGTGAAGAGGGGGACTCCAAAATCCTCTCCTTCCACCTAGTGATTCCAGTAGCTGCCCCAGGATTCAATCTCTGAGTCTATCTTTAGGGCCACAGGGTGGAACTTGGAGCGTTGCAATGGTGATCCACAACTGGGTGGCTTCACCCAGATCCCCGAATTTAGCATAGAGAGCAAGGTTCTTCCAGGGAAAGTGAATGTGCTGTTAACAAGAACAGAGGAGAGGATGTTGTACAAAGAGAGCAGCTGTGGGCCCCCCTTCTGAGCAAAGCAGGGTCACGTTGTACATATCCACCAATTCTTGGTGAGTCATTCACGCTTTCCCACCACTCAAGACTGTCTTAGTCTGTCTTCTGTTGCTATAACAGAATCCACGAGACTGGGTAATTTATCAAGAAAAGAGGTTTGTTTTAGCATTCCCATTCTGGAGGCTGGGAAGTCTGAGAACACGGTGCCAACATCTGCTTGGCTTCTGGTGGGAACCTAAAGCTACTTTGAATCACGGAGGGAAGTTGAAGGACCAGTGGGCATTCATGGAAGAGACAACACCCGGGGACTTGCCTTGGTTTATCACAAACTGCTCTGAGTAACTAATCCAGTCACCCAACCCTCTTAATGATCCGATCACGTCTTCTGGCCCACCTCTCAGTCCAGAAGGACACTTCAACAGGAGTGGTGGAGGGGGACAGACCAGGTCCAGTCCGTAGCACTACCCATCGGAGGGGCGTCCCAACCACCTGGACAGGAGCTACGCTATTGCACAGGGATCTTACCGAGGACTTCACCTCTGGTTTCCAGGTCTCAGGGACCATGTGCTTCGACTCTAGAGAGGCACCCTGGGTGTTCAACGTTCAGCTCTGCATGCATCTGACGACTGCGTGGACCCTCCACGCACCAGGAGGAGGTGAACAAGGAAGAACTGAGTGGGTGCCGTTCCAGAGATGATGAGCAGGAAAAGCCAGAAGCAAACAGAAAGCAACCCATGATTACTCATAATAGAGAGAACCACCAAACAATGAGCACTCGTGGGGCTGGGATTATGAAATATTTATAGATCACTGTATTGTGTTTGCCTCTGCCAACGAGCTCTCATTTTTTACATATCTCTATGCTTTTATTAGAAGCCGTGGGAACAACTCCCCTCATTTTTGCCGCCTATGCAAATTGATTTACCTCGGCATCTACTGACCTTTCTTGACATGTTCTTAGACTGGGCCCGTGTTGGTTTTGAAAGAAGGCTAAGAACCTGATAATGAGCACTTTTAGAAGATAACCTGACCTTGAAGCAATGATAGTGCAATTACTTTTAGAATTTAAAATATACATGAGATTATATCAATTTTTTTTTTTACTTTAATTATATTCTTCAACAGGATCTTTGGAAGGGAAAACACACCATGACCCTATCCAGGGACCCATTTCCCTCAAATTTGCATATAGATCACATTTTTGTAAATTGAATCATCATTTAGGGTTCCAGAGTGACACAAAAATTTTTCGATGAATCATGGACTAATTTTAATTTTAAAGGAGAAAGAAACATCTGAGCTATGTCGCATAAGATTTTTTCATTTAGAGATGTGGGGACTGTGTGGACAGCAAGAAATGACTTACCCAAGGCACATGCACACCGAGTCTGTCCTCTGATTTGTGTCCTTCTGCAGGAATATGCACCGTGCAATCAAGAATATGTTTCAAATTTAAGAAACATTACTTTTTTTATGATTGCAGAGAAAATGGAGAAGGAAAGAATACCATGTGCAGGATCTGAACAGGCAAAGTAGGAAAAGCAAATCTCATGGAATCAAAAAGATTTGTGGAAATTTGTTAGTCCTTGAGCAGGTTTCATAAGCATAGTGGGAAATGATTAAACAGTCATATTCTGGATTGTTCTAGTGGGCTGATCAGTCAGTATGAGGGTAAGTTATAGTGAAGAGACAAATATGCCTCATTGGCTTTCTACCCAGAAGTCTACTTCCAGCCCTCCTTGTGGGCCCTCTCAGCCTGGACAGAGCCTGCTCCCTCTCCACTGTGGCTCTGTAGGTCCTACTAGACTGCCCTTCTGCAGAGAACAGCTCCAGGTCACAGTATGGATGGACTGAAATTCCACGAAACAGCGGCCACCTTTCTGGCCTGAAGGACCCAACCCATCAAGACAACCAGTGCTGCTAGAAAGTGCCAAGAGTCCCAGAGAGGAGGCAGCCAGATCAGAGGGCCATCAGACTCCTGGACGGCGCTCACATGAGCAGAGCTGGCGGCTTGCAGGGAAAGCAGGAGAAGGGAGAGATCTGGGCTGCTGGCCCAAGTGAACCACCCGCTAAGACAGAAGCGTCAACACTCTTTGTAAGAACACCGCGGAATCAAGAGTCGCCACGGCATAACCACAGAGAAGGAGAAGGTGTCATACGAAATGACAAACCTCGATGACACCAGATTGACAATGGCAGTGAGCATTAGCATCTCTTCCTTTTGTCAGAAGAAAGGAGCAAAGGGCAAGAGCTCAAGAGCTCCCACAACTTCCTCTCACAGGTGACAGCTGTCCCCAGCTCTGCACTGGCTGAGGGGAGTCACAGGGCCACGCCTGACTCTAAGGGATCAGGAAGCTGGAGTTTGTTCTCGGGGAGGAAAATTGACAGATTTAAAAATGAATAATGAGACCTCCTGCATGAAGGCAGGGCCACTGTTAGGAAGAGCAGGTGTTTAGGAGTCTCAGAGCCCCTGGGGGATCCAGCTCCCCACCTGATCCCAGGTGCACGCTCCCCAGAGTGTCTTACACAAAACCACTTATGTAGCCACAGCCGGCTGGACCAGGAAGCGGGCAGGGGACCCACGCTGGGCCATTCAGAATGTCCAATCTGATGGATCCCATGGGATGCCTGGATGGGGAGGCCCTGCAGGGCCAGGGTCGAGGTAGAAGTGGCCTCATAGAGGTGGAGGGGGAGAGCCCAGCGTGGACAAACACTTGCACACTCCTGGGCGGCACTGCTCCATGCACTGAGCTCCACCGCCCAAGCTAATTCCAGAGGATGCCTATCCCTCCCGAGACACCACTCACGGGCTGGTTCACAGCGTGTCGCTGAGACTACCGTGTGCGTGTGGCTTCTGGAGCTGGGCAGTGCCGTGTCGCTGCTATGGCAGACTGGAGACACACACGGAGGAGAGAGGCACAGACATGTCATTCTCGGGGCACCGGGCTGCGACAACAGTAATTCTGCTGAGCAGATGGAAAAAGAACAGACTTCTGATCTGGTGTGCGGGTCTGTGCGACAACAGATTGAACCAGGAGTGGCTGGAACCGTGGAAATGCAACCCACCAAGAAAAACAAATGGTGACCTTTGATTGAGTCCAGACAGGATCCTCTGTACTGATCAGAATCGGGGCTGCAGGACGGCACCCTGACGGGGCAGCGCGCGGTTCCAGCACGGTCCTTCTCTTTTCCAACGTGAGCATAGGACTCAGTGGATGTTTTACGTCCACGTGGGTCTTTCACTGACTAAGGCACCTCCACATCTCTGACCTGGCTGGGAATGCCGTACGGAATGGCCCGACTTCTCTGATTGACCTTCCAGAATTGCCTAAGCACATCCCCCCACCCCATTAATTTCATCTTGCAAACTTGCCTTTTTGTATAGTGAAATATCTAAATATAGGCTCAGAGTCTCATATATTGTAAGAGTTTGGGCCTTCCTTTGTCACATAATGGTAAAATGTTATCTCACACAATTCCAAACAGCCACAGAGAGTGGGGAGACAAATGCTCTCCTGCTGCTTTAAACACCATTTAGCAAGTTTTATAGTGGAAGGGTTTGCCGACACAGCTATTGGTTTCTTATGAGGAGGAGTAGAAGAATTTTTTTTTTCTTTTTATAATCCAAAGAAAGATGCTTCTTTAGCCAGACACGGCGTGGAACTTTCAAAGGCCAAGTAAAGCCCTCTGCTCGTTCTCAACCCCCTTTCCGTGTTTTCTGGAAGGGTTTTAATAGCTCTCAATTACCCGGGTTCACAGGGAGACACACAGCAAGGTTCCCGGGTCATTCCCACTGGGCTTTAGTCTTCATTTTTACACTTGGACACAAATTTTTAAAAACTCACGTTATCCATCGTGTTCTTCCTTCATTTACCACCAGGCAGATTAAATAGTATCTTGGATACTAACATTTTCCGTGGATCTCATCATCACCACCCAGAGCCCTTCCTAGCACCGCTCAGCACTCCCTTCTTTAAAACACGCCTGCCCGTTGTTCTGGACAGTCGGTTGGAAATCATAGCACAAGACACCAAGTACATCAGCTGAGAAATGAACCGGCCGTGCTCTGCGAAGTTGGAGGCACCGTACCAATTTCAAGTGTTATTTCTGATGATTAAGGAGACAGACATCACCAGCTGAGGCCCCTTTCCCTCTGTCATCCAGTGGAACAGATTGTAAAAATATTCCCTGGAAGCTCTTTGAACCCACGTTATTTTAGAAGCCGCTCTGCACAGAGGACACTGGGGATGGCGGCTGGATCGTGCTGGCCTGACGGCACAGGACTGGTTTAACTGCCCCGGTGAACTGTCGGGTGAGCTCCATTCACTAAGCAGTTACTTACTGGAAGAAGCCAGGCTGGATCGTTGAAGAGCCCATCGCTGGATGGACAGAGAGAAAATGTGCCACGTGCCCACAGTGGACAATGACTTGGCCGTTTTATGATGTCCTGTCATTTGGAACGGCATATATAGAACTGGAGATCACGTCAAGTGAAGTAAGCCCAGGGCAGACAGACAAATGCTACGTGGTGCCGCGCACACGTGGAACCCGAGCGTTGATCTCATACAAGCTGAGGGCAGGTGGTCAGAGGGCCTGGGGCCGGAGAGATGGAGAAGGCTGGCCGGTGGGTGCTCAGAGAGCTACACCGCAACAGGAAGTTCCAGGTGCTACTGCAAAGCCACGTGGCAAGAGAATGTCAATGTTGTGTGTACTTCAGAAAAGCCAGAGAGGATTTTGAATGCTCTCACTATAAAGAACTGATAAACGTCTGAAGCAATAGATATGTTCACCCCGAATTTGAACATTACACAATGTACACATGTATCAAGACAGCACTTCACCCCATAAAGCTATGCACTCCTTATGTGCCAATTAAAATAAATGAATTTTTAAAACATATGACATTGTAAATGTAGACAATTATCTGTCAATCAAAACTTCTTTAAAAATAAACAGAACTCAGTCACATAAATCCTTCTATGTTACCTGGCATAGGGTCAGCGGTCCCAGTATTTTTATACTAAATCAGACCAGGATGGGGATCCCCTGGGGGAGGGTGTGAGTGGGGGAGGGGCAAACAACTGGCCGGCCTTGGCTCAGCTTTGTCTTTGTAAAAAAGGTGAGCTGTGAGCACTGGAAGAAGCTCTTCTGAAGCGTGGGTGAGATCCTGTTTGAAGTGCTGAATACTATGCAAAACAGACACTGCCACGGCCATCCTACAGGGCACAAGGCTGGGTCTCTGAGAAACAGAGGCAGTGGGGAGCTGTGTACAGATACACGCACAGACACATGCATGTCCACGTGTCATGCACACATGTGGGAGAGAGAAACAGCTCTGCATACATCAGCTAACAGCTCTGACCCACACGAAGAACAGAGACGGAGACGTGAGTTGGTCTGGGTGCTGGAGGAAACTGGCACATCCAGTCTGCAGTGCGGGCCAGCAGGCTGGGCCCCAGAAGAGAAGTGGGGTTGCCGTTCCAGGCCGGACGCACCTGCAGCAGAGGCCCTGCTCCCCGTCCCAGGGAAGCCAGTCTTTTCTCTCTCAAGATCTTTGATGAGTTGGGCGAGGCCCACCCACTCTGTGAAGGGGCAACTGCTTTCCTCGAAATTTACTTTCTTAAATGTAAAATTCATCTTAAAAAAAAATACCTCCACAGAAATATATGCTGGAATATCAAAGAACAGTGTTTGAGCAAACATCTGGGGACCATGGCCTAGTCAACGTCACTGGGATGAACTTCACTGGGATTTCTTCCTTCTTTACAACTTATAGAGAACTGACCTGGTCTGCCCATTGACGTCAGGGTTAGAGCATAGCAGAGTTAAGTGAGATAATACATGAAATGGCCTGCTATAGGGTGCGACACTTGTTTTTTATCACAAGAGATGCAGGACTGAGTAATGTTGAGAGGAAACCCTAAAGCCCGTAAGTGACTTCACCAAGCACTGGCTTGGGATGTGTTAAGTGGGGCTGTTGCATGGATTAAAGAAATTACAGACAAGCCAAATCCCTGCAATACCCTGGAGCACCCACTCCATAGATGTCGTTGAGCTCATCACAAGGGGCCAATAAATTCTTGCTGTAATTGTCAAATCTACTGTGAGGACATGTGCTGAGTTCCCTCACCTGGGTCCTTATTTGCTCATCTCTGATTTTATGCAGGGAGAACGTTCAGAATGATGGCCTCAGGATCTCATTCATTTGGGTGCCAGCTGCAGTTTTTGCTACATCTGAGCACCACTTGTCCTATTCACTTAATATTTTAGACAGAATTGGGTCTAAGATTAAGGTTGAATTCATTACTTTAAAAAAAAAAAACATTTCTATTTGTTTTTATGTGGTGCTGAGGATCAAACCCTGTACTCACATGTTCAAGGCAAGCACTCTACCGCTGAGCCCCAGCCCCAGCCCAACTTTGTCACTTTTGAGTGTAGTAATACTGGTGAAGCCATTTGTTGACATGCTACTAACATTTATTTTCCTAAAATACATGACATTAAGCATATAACCATTAAGCCTTACCTCCCGTGATGGGAGATACGGCCTTACACAGCCCTGACGTCACGAATGTTTCCATCATATTTGTTCTAGCTAAGAGACAGAAGAACACACCAACACATGTCAGTATTCATAACCAGGTTTCCTTCAGAACAACCTAGTTCCTAGGAAGTTTAGCAGATTAAGATCCTCATATTTTCTTATTTGTGATACTTAACGTTATTTTCTTTTGGATGAGGATGATTTCCGTATTCTTTTCTTCTTCTTCTTTATGCTACCTCATGTTGATGAGCTTTTCCTTAAATAAATAAGGCCTACAAAAAGTGTGATCATTTGTCACCATGGGTTGAATTCTATCAGATTAACTAGATTCCTCGCAGAGACCTATGAGAGAGAGTAAAACAAGAGCTCAACTAAGTCCACAATATTAAAAGGGAAATTCCGCAATACTGAAATCAAACTTACCTCCGTGGAAAGAGTGGAATTTCTACCTTGAGGTGACCGAAGACCATAAGTCCCAAGCAGATGCAGGCTCAAGTGAACCAGCAATTCCACGAATTTTTACTTCAGCCTTAGACTCAGAAACCCTCTGATTACTGACTTCTGTCATCTGCATCAGAAAACCAAATAGACTTTGAAACACCTTGAACCAATATGCTAATATTGTGAAGGCTATTAGATCATCAGATGCTTTGGGTTTACAATGGGGAAGATCTCTCTTTGAAGATAATACAAATGTTCAGGCCAATTAAAGTCACTTCCCTAATTCAGATTCAAGGGCTGCACTGTGGCACTGAGATCTATCATCTTTACTGCACATGCTAAAGTCATCATGACTGTAATTATTGGGGGGAAAAAAGTAATTTGAACCAGATCCATGCTTTAGTTGGCCTTGCTCTCAGCCTCTGTGACAAGGTGGAAAACGATTTCATTTTAGAAGACACTGAAGGAGGCGGAACATTCGTTGAGTGAGACACGTTCCCTGAGCTCAGGTTTCCGGGTCCAGCCCCATGGACCCTACAGGCGGGATGACCCTGTGCTTCAGGGCTGTGCTGGGCATTGCAGGGGGTCTATCAGCATCCCTGGTCTGCACCACAGGATATAAGCAGTACCCACTGCCCCAGGAGTGAGTGTGCCCTTGCCAAATGACCTCTGGGGCTAACCAAAGTCCTCCGCCTCCCATTCAGAACCATTGACAGCAGGTCACAAAGGAATATTTGCCAATGTTTTTCTGACTGTCATTGTTGGGGGGGGGGGGAGTTGATTTCTTTACTTGCAATGATTTTTTTTTTTTTTTGGTGACTGCATTACGAAAGCCAAACTATAAAACAGAATTGAAAAAAGATAAACGTTTATCACCCTACTTCATATAAATTCAATAATAAATAATAGGCTCTCTCTAAAAATCCTTTTCAAAGTCATTCGTTCTAATCACAAATGAATTTAGCCACATTTCTTTAAATTTTGTACCTTTGTAATGAACTCAGATACATTCATGGAACTGGATGTTAAATAAAGAGATAGAAAGGTCTAATTTGCTGGTTCATTAAGCCGGCTTATTTCGCGACATTGGGCATATTGCTTTGAATTTCATATTTCCAAGTGGTGGAGACAATAGAGGTATCCATCTCTAATGTAGTGTGGCAGACAATTAGGAACACAAATGGATTAAATCTCATTTCATCAGAGATACACACGGTGATTATTATTTTATTGCCAAATACCACCGGCACTGTGTTCCTCAACATTGCAGTCTTTGATTCGCATGCTTAAATTTGCATTAAACACTGAGGAAGCAACAATACTTTGGGCCGTGTATTTTTGCATGTCATTATTCTGTTCTTTGCTATGTGTGTTCACCCAACACTGGTTTTCTGGATGCAAAATTATACACATGCTCGACGCAGAAGAGACGCTGGTGGCGTCTCTGCAATGACATACCCTGGGGTCAAAATGTGAACCAGTCTCCCGACTGAGGTGACCTTGGGAGGATCACTACACTTAAAACAGAACTAGAAGAAAAAAAATAATTTTCTAGTGTTGTTTCAATATTTTCATAACTTTTAAATGGCAAGATATTGTTTTTGGAAACAAATGAAATCCTATAATGAAAAAATCCAATTATCTACCCTTCTATCTCTCTTGACTGTCACTGTAGCACATCTGTCATCAAATAAGCAATATTAATAATTTAGTATCTATCATCTCTATCTTTTGCCAACCTCCTGTGGACACCTGCAAGTAATTTTACCCAAATGCACCATCTTCCTTTATTTTAAATTAAAAAAAAATGGGATCATGCGATACAATTTTTCTCCAACTTGCTTTTCTGAGTATCTATAGATGTTAAGTTCTTATTTCAGATAACTGCATGGTCTTTCACAGGTGGACACAGGAGATCTGTCCAACTGTTTCTTTTCCAAAGGATGCCACGTTGCTTCCGGCCCTTTGGTAATGCACACTGTGGGGAGTCGACGCCCCAGAACCCACAGCACTGGGGCCGGAGCCCCTCTTGCAAGTGGGCATGGGAAGCAGGGCTGCTTTGTCTGGGTGGACCAGCCCTCTGAGCTCGGGTTCCATATTTGCATCCTGAGAGTCACAACACCTGTCGCACTCCCTTCACCTGTGCCTGTAAGGACTGCCAAGCCAGCCCATGACGATGACGTGGTGGGTCTGGAATCAGGAGGGCCCTCGCCCCACATCCTGTATAAGCTCAGCTCCAGCCGTTGAGAGCCCCTTGTGCTATTTGCAGTCTGATCTAAAACCTGCACACTGTCATGGGCTGCCCTGCTCTGGGGCACCCCTTCAGTGGGCATAACCCTGTTTGGGCAGAGGATACCCCTTTCAGGGACTGGCATTTAGTTCCAAAGTGCTGTATCTTGCGGAACCTGGATTGAGGGCTGGGGTCCACAGGTGTGGGGGCCACTCTGTAAACTCACTTTGCAGACAAGTCGTTTCCGTGCTCACCAGAGTGCAGGCCTCGTTCTTCGATGGAGAAAGAGTAGGGACTATGTTCAACCTTTTTCCTGCTACAGTCATGAGTTTCAATTCTCCTAATGAAGACATCAATAGCATGCAGGGCAAAACAGTCCATCCTCCCTACACACTGCTGTTTAGTAAACCGCCCTGTGCTCACGAAGCAGGGAAGTGCCAGCCTATGACGACGTGGTGTTCCACACCCAGACGGTGGGCTGGGGAAGCATGTGTGATACTCTAGCTTGGGGGCTTGTGTGAGGCCTGGGATTCCGCTGCGGGCTGTGTCCTGGAGGAGGAGGTACGCAAGGAAGATACCACCCTATCTATCCCTTTATGTAAGTAGGTAGAGTCTCACTGTTGGCCCAGGCTGGCCTTCAACTTGGGATCCTCCTGACTGAGCCTCCCCAGTAGCTGGGATACAGGTGTGCACCCTTATACTGGGCTTGACTGACATTTTAAAAACTCACATAGAATAGAACAGAAAATGCCAGAAGGCAACCCTGCAGATATCGACCGCTATTGTTTCATCAATGTTTGTTTCAGAAATACCAGTGTGTGTGTGTCAGAGACAGTGAGAGAGAGAGAGGAGAGGTGAGCCAGATCTCAATGGCAAGTGGTCTGCTTACTATGGGTAGCTATCAAAGACACTGAATGTCCCTTTTCTGGGGACACTTCACTCCTGAAACCCTCCGTCCCTGCCTTGCAGCCTGGTGTAGCTGCGTCTGTGTGTGTAAAACTGAGGCCCTTAGAGCTCTCTTCTCTTGTGCTTTATGGAACATTTCTTTATGGAACGTGGTCTTGGAGACAACAGAAGAGAGACAGGAGGTGACGGGCAATGGCCACGGAGGAGGCTGAGTCTGGAGAGGCGTCCAGTGCCAGGGAGGCAGCAGAGTGCTCCGGGGGCCTTGCTCTGAGGTCCGAGTGGCGGGGCCTCCTCCTGTGCACGCAAGAGGGAGCAGGAACCTGGAGGGGGCAGGGCCTGGAGGAGACGGGGTGAGATGGGGGAGAGGGGCCTGAGAAGGGGAGGGACCCCCTGCCCACTACGAGGTGATTTAATGGGAGCCAGGTCCATCTTCTGAAGGCCCTCCTCCTGTTCTTCATGGATCCAGTGAACATTCCTAGGGCACCTTCTGTGGGCCAGGTTCTCCCTGGACCTCACACAATGACCCAAACTGGCCAACACCCAGCAGTCGTGGAACGTACCATCTAGAAGCTGGGTGAGAGAGACAGATGTGAATCACACGATGGAAGTTTGCAGGAGGAGCTGTCAAAGGACCTCGGAGGAAGCCTCTGACGGGGGCAGACTTTCTACCCTATTGAAAGCTCAGACAGAGACCTGGATCCAAGGTCGCGGTATCGATCCCAACACGGATGCTATGTTACGTTGGCCAAATCACCTGGGCACTCTGAGCCACTTGCTCATCTGTGAAATGAGAACAAGCATTTCACTAACTTCCAGGGCTGAGATGATGTTTAAATATACCCACCCACAAGCCTTTGCCGGCTCCAAGCTCCTCTTCAGGTTGCTCTAAATAATCGGGACCGGGGCAGGCAACCTCAGTTACACAGAGATCTCGGTGGTGTTGGGATGGTGAGGTTTTATTCTTCTGCACTGAATAGTCAATCACTCGTGCCCAGAGTGACAGTGAATGACAACAGGCTCAAAGCCCAGTGTATGTCTAATTATTTCATTTTTGATAAATTTCCATTGAAGCCTCTTTCTGTCTTTGGAATAAATCTTCATCTTGGTTGGAGGGTGAGAGCAGATGCACCGGCTTCTACATTTTTTAATAGGGCCTCTTTTTAAGCACCAGTGGCTTTTTTGAAGTCTCTCTTGAACTCGTGCAACACTGTCATTTACCACCTGAATTATAGAACAGCTCTGATGCGTTACAAATAATTTCCCTGAAGAAGGATGCAGAGAGATGTACTGTGTGATGGGAAAACCACCAATGGGAAGTGCCTCTCTGAACAACAGGTCCCATATCTCAAGGACAATGCAGGGCCGTTCATGTTGGTCATTCTCATCCCCACTCCTAGAAACAGGCAGGTGGCTCTCGACTCCCGGGTGATTCTGCTGTCTCCCCATGCAGGGCTCAATTCTTGGAGCATGCTCCAGCTGACTTATCATTTACCCCTTGCGTTGTAACTGCTAAAGACAGTGGAGCCCCATGAATTTGTTCCGTCTTTCAGCTTCAATGCCCAAGGTCATTAGTACCCCACAAACATCCCTCGCTTATGCCACACCTTGAGATGGCTCTTCCTGGCCCAGTGAGATGCCAGTTACATAGCGCCAGTGACAATATCATCTTGTTTTTATAGTTGTATGATGAAGGGTCCAAATGAGCCAAATTGAAGAAAATGGTAAAAGATAGTTGCAAAATCTAAGGGATTCCTACCATAGTTTATCACATGTACATGATACAGTATGCATATATTTAAAATTGGATTTTCTTAATACACGGTTTAAAAATCTCTTAGAGCAAAATGCATGATATTCACATGTGATCTGATGATTCTATACATGTGGAGTATGTGTTTTGTAAATGGAGAGTCAAGATAATGACGAAAGATGTATTTTGAGACATCCTATCCATTATAAGCAAAGGTTTTGCATTGAATATTTTCATCTAAGGAGGCCTGGGATACTTAATATCTACCTCTCTCCCAGACTAGACAACTCTCAATGTTTTGATCTAAAGTCCCAAGTGCTCAAAAGAGAAGAAAAATGTTAAAGTGAGACCAGTTCTTATATTATAACATTCTCTACTTGCTTACAAATTGAAGTGTACTGCAGACTGGTTAAGGTGATCACTTGTGTTAAACAGTTTTTTGTCACTACAACAAAACACCTGAGACAATCAATTTACAATGATAAAAGGTTCATCTCGGCTCACAGTTTTGGAGGTTCCAGTCTGTGGCCTACTGACTGCTGCTTTGAGCCTTTGGTGAGGCAGCACATCATGGCAAGCTCATATGGCAGGGCAAAGGCCTTCATCTCGTGGCCAAGACGAGAAAACAGAAGAGGAAGGGACTGGGGTCCCACTGCTCTCTTCCAGGGCTCACCCAACAACCTGAAGATCTCCCACTAGGCCCCGCCTTTTAAAGGGCCCACCACTTTCTGATGCCACAATGGAGGCCAAGCCTCTACCACATAGGCCTTTGGGGTCACTTAAGATCCAAGCTACAGCACCAATGATTCCAATTTGCCAGGGACAGAGGGGATGTGGGACTTTCAGTTCTCACAGCAGGAAGACTCTGGTCCCCCTGTGAGCATGTGGCCTCAACCCTGCACCCCCACATCCCTGCATCCACATCTCTGCAGGGACCTCACAGTGGCCATGTGGGCCTCCCAGCCCCCTGACCTGGGGCATGGCCATCTGACTTGTGTTGGCAAAAACACCTGGAGGGAAGTAGCAGAGAGTCTGTCCCAGCGTCTCCGAGGGCCCATGGAAGGGCCTGCACTCGACACTGGCTAGTGTACTGGCCCAGGGCAAAGGAGAGACACTGGGTCGGCTGACAGAGACCTGGAGCCAGAACCCCCACCTCCACCAGCAGCAGGACCCGGGGAACTCGCAGATGTGGGGGGGTGGAAAATGCTAACTTACAGCTCTGCTGAGGTCCCACGGCCACCTGGGGCAGCGTCATTGCCACGGGAGCGTCTTCCTGAGCCAGGAACAAATACTCACTCCATAAATCTGAGCTGAGGTCTGACTTTGTGCTGGGTACCAGGGACGCAATGCTAAGCACGGCACTGTTATGTTACTGTGACGAAACCTGGTGTTCTCACTGTCCCCGAGACCCTTAAGGTCTGCAAGGTCAGAATCATCTTGAAAATGATACTAAAAGGTGACTTGCCTTTTCTCCTTCTTTACCACGTCACTGCTCACGTGGACGACGTGAGGACGGTGGTGGGCATGTCTGCGGGACCGATGAAGTCATCGAGGAGGGTGCTGCTCTCTCGTCAGACATTTCACTGTGGAAAACCGCAGCTTCACTTCTGAATGAATCTATTGAAACAGTGAAAATTAAATTAAATCTGAGATGAACACTTCTTTTTTTCAGTACTGGGCATGGAACCCAGGGCCTTGCACTTGCTAGGTGGGCACTCTGCTCACTGGGCTACAGCCCCAGGCATCTTTAACATTTTGAGACAGGGTCTTGATAAATTGCTCAGGCTGGCCTCCATCTTGCCATCCTCCTGCCTCAGCCTCCCGAGTAGCTGTGATTTCAGGTGTGCACCTCCACACTGCTTGGGATCAACATCTTTTTAGCACATCTGCATGCCACACTGTCAAGGACCCATGAAGTGCCTCTCCTGCATTCTGAGATACGATGGGACAGGGCATACATGAGAGAAAACTGGTCAACCATTTTGATAGAGAAGTCAAACCCCTACCTCACAATCTATTCAAAACTGTATTCTGGGCAAACTAAAGAGTTAAATAAAAATAAAACAAAACAATACTAGAATAAAATGCAGAAGGGTGTATTTTTAGAACCCTGACTGGTGACAGTTCTTTCTCAGTATGCATGGAGGCCAGGACACACAGGAGCGGCAGGTTTTCCTCTGTGTGGTTCAGGATTATTTCAATGTCAAGGAAGATTTTAAAAATAATAGAAATAATAAAACTAACCCTGCAAACAAAACAAATCTGTGGGGGTCTTGTTAACCAACTGCAACACAGCCTTCATGGATCTCCTATGGAGACTGAGCATGGTATAGGCATTACTTTTGCACAACTGATCAGAGTTGAATGGCAAATCTTATCAGAAAACAAGTATGGACATCCAAAGGGCAGCCCTAAGCCCCCTTGAGAATCCTGACCCACTGTCCACATTATGTAGTTTCCCTGGGCATTTTGGAGGGCTGGGATTCAAAGATGCCTGCGGCGGTTTATTAAAGCCATCATCAATCAGAGGGGTAAGCGTGACCTTCTGGTGTTCTGGGTGCCACCGTCAATCGTTAGCAGCCACCCTTAATCCAGTTCAGGCCTGAAGCTGTCTGCTCCCACAAACATGGCACCAAACCCAATGGCTTCCAATTAATTTTTAAAAAAGGGCCATGCAAATGTTGCTCTTTGGGCCGCAGCCGGCAGAGATGGGAAGGATATGAGTCAGGTTCTTGGGTCTCCACAAGCCCACACCATACCCTCATAGGAATTAGAAAAAGACCTCCCTCCTGTAGGACAAATTAGAAAAAGGTGCCTCCTTTGATGGGAGGAGTGGGGAAAGGCACGGCTTCCTCTAGGGGGACGCGGAGCTTCTCAGCTGCGGCTCTCCTGCCCCCAGCTCCCGGGTGGAGGCCCTGTCGAGGGCCCAGCGCGGGTCTCTCTGCACCGTGGGCACATCTTGGCAGCATACACTCCCTTCTGTCTGGTTACAGAATGAAGCTTTAGTAATCGTGGAGGGCCGTGTCTGCGCTGCCCAGCGTCTGGGAGGGCTCGCCTGCCCGCGGCGTTCTCCAGACGAAGCTTGGAGGCCCTAATCCCCACGCTCCATCTTACATTAGAGGGGGCTCAGCAGACAAGGGCCAGCAAGCCAGATCTGGCCTCCGGCCTGCTTTGTAAACAAATTTTCTTTGGCACCAAGCCACACTCCTCCACGGATGCCCTACGGCCTATCGTGCTACAGACAGAGGTCGACCACTGCCAGACCTCCAGCTCACGAACATTCAAATCTTTTCTTTTTTTCTTTTTTTAAAGAGAGTGAGAGAATTTTTTTAATATTTATTTTTTAGTTTTCGGCAGACACAGCATCTTTGCTGTATGTGGTGCTGAGGATTGAACCTGGGCCGCACGCATGCCAGGCGAGCGCGCTACCGCTTGAGCCACATCCCCAGCCCCATTCAAATCTTTTCTACCTGGCTCTTCAGAAGCACGTTGGCCGACTCCTGCCCGAGACTGGCGCTTCCTGGACCAGACTGTCAGCCTTTTGCGTAAAGGGCCTCAACGAGTTGCAATTTAGTGTTCATGTCTCAGCATATAAAGATGGCTCATGTTACAAAGTCCATGCAAACCCATTTTTGCACTTATATACGCAAAAATACATTGCTGAAAAATGATAATTTGTTATCTCAAATGCAGCTCAGCCTCAGTCAGAATTTCTCTCCATGAAACTCATTGTATATCTAGGAAACCAAATGTGAAGTACGGAAATATTTATTGGACTAACTCGTTTCTCTGTAAATAAAACAACAACAACAACAACAAAAAACTAGGCCACAAATTCCTCCATCAGATTCTTGAAGGAAAAGGGCACCTTTGCAGCTAAGTTTGTCTATTTGCCACCCCACCCTGCCTGCAACTGCATTTTTCTTTTTGGTGGTACTGAGATGGAACCCAGGCCCTGTGTACACTAGGCAGGTGCTCTTTCACCGAGCCACATCCCCAGCCTGTTTTTATTTTTTCGGTTGTGAGAGGGTCTCCCTAAGTTGCTAAAATTGGCCTCAAACTTGCAATCCTCCTGCCTCAGCCTTCCGAATCACTGGAATCACAGGCTTATGCCACTGTACCTGGCACACCATTGCATTCTTAAGACAAAAAGAAATATGGAATTCAATTGGCTGTTCCCTTTTTATTTGGCTGCTAGGAAACTCAGAGCTGTACCTGGACTCACCTAAAGTAATTTCCCACTGCCGTGTGATATCAACTCCTAAGCTCTCTTGGCTTCTGTGTTTTTCCCTGGGTTTGTTTTATATTAGGTGATGCTACTTCTCATCCCTTTTTGAAAAGAAGTTTATACATATTATGTCATCACATCACCCTGATGCTCCTTTAGATAACGAGTGGGAGAATATATGAAACCCCACCAGCCAGACCGGAGCTGCACTCTGTCCTAAACCATCAGCGAGCCCCTGGGCACACCGGTCAGTATCTCTGAGTCTCTCCTCATCTATAAAATGAAGCAGGGACCTTACCTTCTAAGACGGCTGAGAGTTACAGGAGGGATGTATGTAAGGTGCCCTTTCACTATTATAATACCACACATTTCTATGTAATATGTCTATGACATTAAACATCTACAATTTTATTTAAAACATTTAAATAGAGCTGGAGATAAATGTGAAGTTACCCCTTGGTTATGTTCGCATGTTACACGACAACTTTTACATAGCATCTGTGACAATAAAATGACACCGTTTTGCCCTACCCACATTTTATAAGAAAATGAAATTAGTCCTGCTTAATAACCAATAACCTCTGTGATTTTCTCACATGCGCTCTGCTCTGTGGTGGCTCTGCTATGTGTCAGATAACCGAGGGTTCCTGAAATCCGTCTCTGCCTCATCATCTTTATGACCCTGAACTGATATTTGGCAAATGGAGTAAACTGATAATCCACTCAAAACATTTCCCCATATAGCATTTAATAATCCATCTCTGAAATGGCATTTAAAAAACAACATCACAGACACAATTTCCAACGGAATATTCATATTTATGGAACCCAAATCCAAAGATCTTAGGAGCAAATCGTGATGAAAGTAACAAGTATTATTCTGACAGCAAGGATTCAGACAGACTCACCTAAAAAACACTGAACAGAATCTGTATGCTTGTGAGCTACACCGCGCTGATCAGTTCTCATCCAAAAGACAACAGAGAATCAAAATCAATGGCTGGTGTAGACAGGAACCCAGGGAAGAGTACAGGTAAAAGAGCATGCTCGGCTGACTTAAGCATATGTTTCAATGGATTGCAAAGAACTTTGAGATGTGATTAGTGAGTGTTGAGTTCTGAACTTGAATTGTTATGATCTTGCTGAGCTCACCAAGAAGGAGGCCCCGGTGACCACTGGCTGTCGACCCCGTGGCTAAGCCTGCAAGTTGGTACATGGGTGCTGGCTCCTGGCTTCCTCTGGCCAGTCTGTGTTGTACACTGATGAAGGGCAAGCAGGCTCTGATGGCGCCTTACAAAGAGGGCCGCTCCAGGGTCCCACCTGACCAGCCCGCTCATGCCTGAGACAGCCCAGTTCTGTCGGGTTCCGAGGTTACTTATGGCCTCTCCTGGGCAAGGAGCTCTGGAGCTTCTCAGAGGATGCAGAAAGGTCCTCTATCTAAGCCTGGCCCAGTGCCTGAGATGGGACTGCCAGGCCAAATCCAGGTCACTCACTGAAATCTGAATTTTGAATTGATAAACTTAAGTATGGACAGTCTCCAACGTACAATGATTCTCAACTTAGGAGTTTTTTAAATTGATGAAGGTTTGAAAGTCATACTCATTCAGTGGAACCTGTACTTGGAATTTTGATTTTGCATCTTTTCAGGGACTAGTGACAAGAGGTACCCCACTCTTGAGATGCCAGACAGTGAGAGCAAGCTGTAGCTGCTACACGTCACATCCTCTAGGGGACACTGAGATGCAGCATGTTTGGGGCGTTGTGTTTGTGTTTTCTAACCCATTGTGTCTGTGGAATTCCCTCCGTGTGTGCACATGAGATATCGAACCCTTTACCACAAAACAGGCTTCATGCCAGACAACATGGCCCCACTGTAGCTAATGTTCTTCACACATTCGAGTCAGGAGAGGCTAAGCCAGGCCTTTGGCTGGGCTAGGTGCCTTTAGTGCTGTTCTAACTTGTGATATTTTCAGCTTATGATACAGCATCAGCATAAGTATGTCCATGAAGTTTTGGAGACATACTTATGCTAAAATACCAGTCACTGTTGAACTGACGTTCAAGTTGAATTGGGCATCTTGTATTTTATTTGCTAAACATGAGCACTCTTCCAGGAGGGATTAGTTTTAGGTGATGGTATTATTCTGTCAGTTGTTGGGGAACCAAAAATTCATCCTAAAGCAAAACCTGCAACTAAATACAACAGCAAACAGAACTTCCAAGTAGTGAGAAATTTCCTTTAGTATCAATGTAAAAATTCAACCTAGATTGGACTGTGGTCCTCTATAATTAAAATAACAACAACAACAACAACAACAAAAACTTGGTCCCAGATGGTCATTAAGGAGGGAACCCTTCCAAACGTATTCTATGAGGCTAGTGTCACCCTGACACCAAAACCAGACAAAGACACATCAAGGTAAGAAAACTTCAGACCAACATCCCTCGTGAACATAGATGCAAAGATTCTCAATAAAATCCTGGCAAATCACATACCAAAACATATTAAAAACAGTGCATCATGATCAAGTGGGGTTCATTCCAGGGAGGGAAGGTGGATTCATGTATGGAAATCAATAAGTGTAATTCATCACGTCACAGACTTACAGACAAGAACCACATGCTTATCTCAACAGATACACAAATGCATCTGACAGAATTCAGCATCCACTCATGTTCAAAACAACTAGAAAAACTAGGGATAGTAGGAACATACCTCAACATTGTCAGAGCTGCTAAGCCCAAGGCCAGCATCACATTAAATGGAGAAAAACAGAAATCATCCCTCTAAAACCTGGAACAAGATAGGGATGCCCTCTTTCACCACTTCTATTCCACATAGTCCTTGAAACTGTAGCCAGAGCAATCAGACAGGAGAAAAAAATTAAAGAGATAAGAACAGGAAAAGAAGAGCTCAAACTATCCCTATATTCTGATGACATGATTCTATATTTAGAACACCTCAAAGACTCCACCAAAAGTTTCTTAACTCATAAACAAATTGAGCAAAGTAGCAGGATAAAAAGTCAACACCAGTAATTCAACTGCATGTCTACACCAATGATGTATCAGCTGAAAGAGAAATCGGGAAAACCATTCCATTCATAATAGCCTCAAAAAAACACCAAAATACTTGGGAACCAATGTATTGAAAGAGGTGAATGACCTCTACGATGAAAACTACAGAACACTGAAGAAAGAAACTGAAGGAAACCTTAGAACATGGAAAGATCTCCCATGCTCCTAGATGGGCAGAATTAATATTGTCAACGTGGCCATACTACTAAAAGTGCTATACAGATTTAATGATTCCCATTAAAATTCCAATTATGTTCTTCATAGAAATAGAAAAAGCAATCATGAAATTCATTTGGAAAAATAAGAGGCCCAGAATAGCCAAAATAATCCTTAGCTGCCGGGGTCCTGCCCTAGCGGGGTCCAGGGAGTCCTGAAGGATGAGTGGCGTTGGCGAAAAGATGAGACAGGAGTCGTTCCGTTGGAGCAATCTCCAGAGAGAGAGAGAGCTAATGCAGCTTTCTCTGGGTCATCTTTTATTACAATTTTTCTCATCATTATAGATTCAAAATATGTCATTGATTATATAATTTAAAATTTTGCCAAGACATGACATTTCCTTAACCATGATTGGGGGTACAAAAAAATGTAACATTAATTTACATTTTTCCAGGATATGACCTTCAGTTATTTAATTATTAAAAGTACAGAATCATTAATAAAATACGTCACTAATTTACATTTTTCAGATTTTCCCAAGATTTACTATTTTCCCCTAAGATATGCTATTTTCTTATTAACTAATGCCAAACTACGTAACCAGACTCTAAGTCTCCTAACCAATCATTAACCTAAAGTACACTTGTACTTTATTTCTAATCTAAAATTCCCATCTAAAAAAGTCCCCTTAAATCTTATGCTTAAAACATCCTAAAGTTTATAAATCATTCTCAAAACATATCAGAAACCTATACAACTAAAAACTTAAGAATTTCTAAACTTAAGAATCTAAATAAAATAATATTTCTAACATTATTCTAAAACTGTGTCTTATAAAGCTATTTTAATTAATTCCTAAATTTATTCTCATAAAACTGGTTGAGCTGCTTTCTCAACGAGTTTCTTTGTTTCTCAGTCAAGGTGCACTAGTTCTCATATCTTTATAATCTTTCTCAATAGAAAGTAAGTTCTAAACATCAATCCACTTTCCACCAATATTAACTATGCTCATCATATATCCCTATGTAAAGTAAAAAAGGGTTTATAAAAAGAGAAGAATATATCTTTATATGTTTTAACTTTCCTAAGTGTATAATATAACTTTCCTTAATAAAAAATGAGACTGCATGGGGTGAGCTTTGTAAAATAAGCATAATGATTAGGTTTTCTAAGAGGCCGGAAATATGGGTTTGGGTTCTAGTTGATATAATCAATGTGGTGCCTAAAATTCTCATGACCTTTCAAAGGATGATTGTTGTCCATTATCAGGTTTGTCCACAATGTACTGAGATAGAAGAACAGCCTTCTACTTTGTCCTTGATATGCTGAGGGGTAGTAGAACAGCCTTCAAGGCATGAACTACCTGTTATGTTCTAGCCATCTGAAATTTAATTTGTTTGGCATTTAACATACTCATGCCTCCTGTCAGAAACATAAGCATGAAAATGAAAAGTCCCAATTACATAAAAAAGGGTCTCATGGTTTCGGTTTCCCACCAACCAGCGTGGCTTTGCCAGCATTCATCCTCACTGTGACCCTGTCAAGACAGTGAGTGGGGGATTGCCTTCACCAATTCCCCCTTTTTTATTTTTTAAATGAAGTAACTTTAGTTCCAGATGGGCTGACCGAATTCCACGACTCAGCAATCTGAACAGGACTGGAAGGACAAAAATAAGGACAAGAAAAATTAAAATACTTACACCACTATTGATTAAAATAGAAAATAAGGTTTTGCTGGAGACTAAAGAATTTAATTGGGAAACAAAAGTGTCAGCTAATTCTGGAATGGTTGTTTCTGAAATATGTGCCTGGCTAATGTCTTTAATTTTTTCCTGTAATTCCTCTATATCTAGAGTTAAATTAGTGTTTTTCCATAATCCTCGTAAATGACATTGTATCTGGGACCATGTTTTTTCAGAATAGTTATATGTGTGAGGAGTAACACAAATCCATTTAAATTGAGAATGACATCTAGTTGTCATTCGAGTTTTTATGTTTTGAATTTGATTACCAATGTAAAGGACAGCCTCTTCTAAAGCATTAACTCTAGCTTCTAACATTCCTATCTATATGTTCTTGAATCATAAGTGCAGTAGAAATATTTTTTGACAACTGATTTACGGGGTGAGCAGTATGAACTTCTTTAACTAATGCAGTAGTGGAAGCAACTATGGACCTTATTATACCAATTAATGCTGAAATTCCTAAAATTAAGGTAGCTACAAAACGTTTAGGTCTAATTAAGGCTTGATTAACTAAGTCTAATGCTTGTAACCCAGGATCATCATACCAAATAGAATTTAATTTAACAGGCAACATAATATAAGAAGGTTGATGTACGATTAAAATATGATTGGGTGCTAATACAATTTGTTAATGTACAACCTTCACAAACATCATCATAAGTTTCATCCTCTAATTTTGAAATCTTTAGTGTTCCTTGATTTTTAAGTAATATTGTATAAGGGGATCCTACACAAGCCATAACAAAATGACTTTCATGTACTGAAGAAGGCCCAATCATATGTCTTATGTCTAAAGAAGCCAATGACCTATAAAGTTCCGTATAAACCTGATAATGTTGTCAACCCATCCAGCTGAGAACCATTCATTCATGGGTTTAAGGGGAACGCTCCTAATAGTTCGTTTTCGAGGAGTATTCCATAAAGGTGATGATGAAATTTTACGAGCATCATAGTCAGGTTTAGAAATAGAAAAATCATATATTGGAAAAGAATAATTTTTTGGAAAGATTTTAAATCCTCTTTCAATAAACATACATGTATGCCAGATTGGAAATCCAAATTGTCTATCTATTCCTACCCATGAATGATCAAGATGGGACTCAGCTTTTTCACAATCTTGAAACATAGGAGGGGGCTTTTCTGAAGGCAAATTTTCTTTAAAATCAGGAAAATTTAAAGTTAAAATAGAAAGTGTCCAAAGATCCTTTATATCACTTTCCTCATTTAGAGAATTTGTTATAAAAGTTCTATAATTAAGTGGTATGTAGCCCACAATTTGAATAACATTATAACTGAAACACAGAGGAGGTAAATGACTATGACCCTTAAAACTAAAATTATGAGTTGATATAGGAGTAATAAAAGAATTAGATTCACCCCCCAGGAGATTAGTATTATTGGCAAATACCTTAATATCTCCTTTTCCCCCAGTAGTGAGATGAAATAAAGGTGGATCAGGATAATATGCCCAATAATATTCAGAAGACACATTGGTTACCTGACAGGCAAGAATAGCTAGCATAGCAACAAACCTTTTCTCAGGAGTGCAGGGGTTTGACTGAGTAGAAGTAAGTTCTCGAGCTTGATGAGTCAATTGTTCTAATTGTCCCCAAGTTGGTAGTTCTGCAGATCTTGTAGAAGATGATCGTCTGAATAAGGACTGAGGACCATCAAAGTTCATTCGGGAGAAAGATGGAATCAAGGTAGTCATCAAATCTTCCTCAGGCACCGTGGTCAATGGTGAGGAGTATCGGAGACTCGGAGGGCACGATCTGTTCCGCTTTCTGGTCCGGAGGCTGGACATAGGGTCGAATCAGTCTGTCAGGAATCCAAATGGGGGAATCTGCGTCCTGTGGGAAGACACAAGCATATCCTCGCCCACAAGTTAGTAGTACATCAGGTCCTTTCCATTTACCTGTCAAAAGATCTTTCCATTTTACTAAGGGTTTTGCTGATATTTTTTCATTTTCCCAATGTCTTAACATAGGAGTTACTCCTTTATAATCACAATTAAGATGACTGATCACAAACAAAGCATGTTGTAAAACATGATGAGGAGAACTATATTTATATTCTCCTTCTTGAAGTTTAGTAATTTGAGCTTTCAATGTTTGATGAGCTCTTTCAACTCTAGCTTGTCCTTGAGGATTATAAGGGATTCCTGTAGAATGAGAAATTTTAAACGTATCACAAAATTTTTTAAAAGCATTTGAAGTATAAGCTGGTGCATTATCTGTTTTTAATGCTTTAGGCATTGCCAAATATGAGAAACAAATGAACAAGTGTTGCACTACGTCTTTATATGCTTCCCTAGTTCTTGCTGAGGCAATAATCACATGAGAAAAAGTATCAACAACAACATGAACATAACTTAATTTTCCAAATGAAGGAATATGAGTAACATCCATTTGCCATAGATCATCAGGTCTTAAACCACGAGGATTAACCCCCATGGGTAAGGCTGGCAGTAATGATGGACAGGTTTGACAATTTCTGACAATAGTTCTAGCTGATTCCCTAGGGATATGAAATTGCTGTCGAAGGGCAGAAGCATTTTGATGATGTAAAGCATGACTAGCTGTAGCTCCCTGAACAGTAAGAATTTGGGGTCTGGTTAATGAATCTGCCAATGCATTGCTTTGTGACAATTCTCCTGGTAAGTTAGAATGTCCTCGAATATGCCCTATAAAATAAGGATGTTGTCTATCTGAAATAAACTTCTGTAAAGAATTTAAATGATGAAAAATTGTAGTCTTATGCTGAGGAAGAGAAGCTGTCTCTATATGAGGAAAAATTTCCACAATATACTGAGAATCAGTATATAAGTTAAACATTTGATCTTTTAAATGGGTAAAAGCCATAATTACAGCTATTATTTCTGCCCTCTGAGCAGAGGTTTCCTCTGTCTGTTGAACATAGGTTTCATCATTAATAACTAAAGATGCTCGTCCATTTGAGGAGCCATCAGTGAAAACTAAAGCTGCTGGTTGAGGTAGAGGTTCAGAAGAAAACAATTTTGGAAAAGTAACAGGGTGATTCTTAACTGAATATAACAAAGGGTGAGATGGCAAATGAAACTTAATATGACCACAATATCCCTGTAAAGCTATTTGCCAATCTTCAGAATGTTCCATAAGTGTATTTAATTGATCTCTAGAATAAGGAATCACCAAATTATGCATTTCTTTCCCAAATAACTCTCTACTTCTATGTCTTCCTTTTATTATTAATAAAGCGATCACAGTAGGGTATGAGCAAATAACCTTTTTAGAAGTAACCGGCATATGTATCCACTCTAAAGGACCTGACTGCCATAATACTCCTGTGGGTGTATGAGGAGTAGGTAAAATAAGAAGATCCCAAGTTTGAGTATAATCAACTCTTTGCAATTGTTGTTTATTAATAGCTTCTTCTACCTTATTTAAAGCCAACTTAGCTTCTTCTGTCAAAATACGAGAAGAGCGTGGGTTAGAGTCTCCTTTCAAAATATCAAATAAGGGTTTAAGATCTGCAGTAGTAAGTTTCAAAAAAGGACGAATCCAATTAATATCTCCTAAAAGTTTTTGAAAATCATTTAAAGTTTGTAAATGATCAATCCGTAATTTTAAATTTTGATGGGAAACAGTTTGAGTATTTATAATTCTACCCAAATAATTATAAGGAGGTGATTGCTGAATTTTATCTGGGGCAATGATTAAACCAAAATTTTGTAAGGACTGTGTCAACATTAATAATATATGATGATGCAACTGGACATCTTTATGAGCAATTAATATGTCATCCATATAATGAATAATATAGGCATCTTTATATTTATCTCTTATTGGTTGTATTTCTGATGCAACATATTTTTGAGAGAGAGTAGGACTGTTTTTCATACCTTGAGGCAACACCTTCCATTGAAAACGTTGATATGGCCGTTTTAAATTCACAGAGGGAAGGCTAAAAGCAAACCTTTTACGATCATCAGGATGTAATGGAATGGTAAAAAAAGCAATCTTGTAAGTCTATTACCATAACATGAAATCCTTTAGGGACAGCTACTGGAGAGGGGAGTCCTGGTTGTAAGGAACCCATATCCTCCATGGTAGCATTTATAGCTCTTAAATCTTGTATTAATCTCCATTTACCTGATTTCTTTTTAATAACAAATACAGGAGTATTCCATGGACTATTAGAAGGTTCTATGTGTTTTAAATTAAGTTGTTCCTTAACCAACAAGTCTGCAGCCTGTGATTTTTCTGTTGTTAAGGGCCATTGTTCTACCCACACAGGCTCATCATTTTTCCAAGTCATTTTATCTGCTGTTTCAACAATGGCCCCAATTAAAATTCCTGTTGAGCCTCTTCTACAAGAGCAGTACAGAGAGAAACTCCCATTTTAAACATTATATCTCGGCCCCGTAAAGTAAAAGGAAGAGAAGGAATAACATATGGCTGAAAAGTTCCTGAATTTTTGTCATCAGCCCATTTAAGTATTTGAGTGCTTTTTGCTACATTAGTGGCAGTTCCAAGTCCCATAAGTGTTGAGGGAGTTACTGTTGTAGGCCAGGTTGAAGGCCAATCTTTTCCAGCTATACAAGTGACATCTGCTCCTGTATCTAATAATCCATCAATTATTTTTCCCTGAATCTCTAGTTTTTTCATAGGACGAGAATTTTGAATTTTTTGAACCCAGAATGCCATATCACTAGAACCAAATTTGTCTTTGTTCATTTGAAATAGCTCGGTTTCCGATAGATAAATAGGGGAGTAGCAAGATTTGAGCAATTCTTTGCCCTTAATGAATAATCAAAGTCTCTTGAGATGAGGGTTCTATTAAAATCTTAATTTCTCCAGTAAAATCAGAATCAACAACTTCAGGAATAACTTTGATTCCCTGTAGGGAAGCAGAGCTTCTTCCTAGAATAAGACCAAAAGTTCCTTTAGGTAAAGGTCCATAAATTTTAGTAGGTATAGCTAGAACAGAAGAGTCTGAGGGAATAACTACTGATTCTGAAGATGCCAAATCTAATCCTGCTGAATCTGGTGTGGCTGTTAATAAACCCCTTATAGTATATCCTGTTGAAAAAGATTGTTGATGACCTCCATTATTTAAGGGGCCCGAGGAGGGCCCCTTTATAGTTTCCTGGTAATGGATTGGCAGTCATTTGTGGAAATTTTTGAGGCATTGGTCCACCTTCTAAAAGTCTCCCATCTTTATGAAATTCAGAGCGACACTCCTTTGCCCAGTGAAATCCCTTATTGCAACGTGGGCATAAATTTTTGGGTCTAGATATCTGATTAGGAACTATGTTTCCTTTATTTTGAAAGTTTTTATTAGGACAAACTTTACTAAAATGACCTGTCTGTTCGCAAGAAAACAGCTTTGATTTCCTTTATTTTGTTCTCTGTTTTGAAGCCTTTTAAGAAACTGAGCATTTGTTTGTCCCCATAATGCTGTAGCTATGGCTACATCTTGCAAATATGAGGGTGATACATCAGCACAAACCTTAACAAAATCAGATAAATTTCCTGTCTTTCTAATAGGTCTTAGGAGTGTCTGATATGCAGTATTTGCATTTTCAAAAGCTAATTGTTTAATTATAATTTGTGCAGCTTCATTATTAGTTATAATTTTTTTCCACTGATTCTTTTAATCTAGACAAAAATTCCTCAAAAGGTCTTCAGGTTTTTGTTTTATAGTACTTAAGCCAGAAGTTTTAACTCCTTTATTTTCCAATTGTCTCCAAGCATTAACTGCTGTATCTGAGCACTGGATCAAGGCAGGCTGAGGCAGATGTCATTGATCACTTGGCTGAGCCCAATCATTTTCTCCCATTAACGTATCAAAAGTGACTTCACTATTTATAGATTTATTATATCGAGAGCATTCTTTAGTTCTATCTTCATAATCTGTTTTCCATAATAAGAATGTCCCTCTAGGGAGACGAGATTTTGCAGTAGCAGACCAATCATATGGAGTCATCCATCTAGTGGCAATAGTTTCTACCATCTGTAAAGTATAAGGAGAAGTGGGCCCATAATCACGAACAGACTGTTTTAATTCTTTTAAAAGTTTTAAAGGAAGGGGCTCCCATTGAGGCATATAGTGTTCATCATGTGAATCAAAAGTGATAGGGAGAGTGAAACCTAGATCTCTAGATTGTAGAGCCTCTCTCATGGCTCCTTTGAATCCTACATTCCGTGAAGGAGGAGATAGGGTATTTTTTTATTTTGGAACCTAATTTATTTTTGGTAGAAGATTTTGTAAGAGGTCCACAAGAATGTGTACTTATAGGGGCAAAGAATTCTTCTTTATGATATTCAGTAGCTGCTTCTTCTAAATTATCTTTATTTTCTAAACAAGACGGATCCTTCTCCTCATCTTTTTTTTAGGACATAAGTTTCGCTCCTAGAGTCCTTCCTTAGGGGAGTTTCTTCAGTAGGGGCAGTTGAGTTAATCCTATTTAAGATTTCAGCTTCTTGAGCTGGATCTAACATATCTTTTAAAAGATTCCATAATGCTATAGCATCTACAGGCACCTTTTCTGGTCCATAATTAGAGTAATATGCTCTTAAAGCTTCTCCTATTTTTACCCATGTTTTTAGATCTAAGGTTCCCTCTTCTGGGAACCAAGGACAACATTCCTGAATAAAATGAAAAAAACCTCTGTAATTGTGAAGTGGAAACCTGAATTCCTTTTTTTCTAAGCATATGTTTAACAATATCAATGAATGATCCTCGTTCCTTAGATTCTGTATTTCCCATTTTTTCCTTTACCTAATTACCTACTCTTACCTGTTCTGCCAACAGGGGGCTCGCAAAACCCACGGGTAATGGCCTATCCACTCCGAAAACAAGGGGGCAAATGCCGAGGGGGCTTACCTTCAGTTACCTGGTTCGGGCGTCAAGTAACGCAGGAGGCGTCACAATGCCAGACCTTAAATTACGCTACAGAAAAACTGGCACCAAAATACACTTGAAGATCAATGGAACAGAATAGAAGACACAGAGACACACCTGCATAAATACAGTTATCTCACACTGGACAAAGGTGCCATAAACATACACTGAAGAAAAGACAGTCTCTTCAACAAATGTCGGGAAAACTGAGAGTCCATATGTAATAGATTGAAATCGAATGCCAATATCTCACACTGCACAGAACTCAGCTCAGAGTGGGTCCAGGGCCTCGGCATTAGACCAGAGGCCCTGCTCACTAGAAGAAACACTAGGCCCAACTCCTTATCCTATCGGCACAGAAACAGACTTCCTCAACCAGAGTCTTAAAGTACAAGAAGTAAAATCGAGAGTCGATAAACGAATGACATCCAACTCAAAAGCTTCTTCACAACAGAAGAAACAATCAAGAACACTGGCTCCTCTGAGCCTGGCTTCCAGCAGGCACCTCGGACTCCAGGATCTTGGGCCTGATGGACAGAAACGCCGTCAGGGAATGCAACCCCCCCCCCCCCCCCGGCAGTAGCGACTTTCGTGTGGCTCACAGGGCTCCGTGGGCTCCTGACACGGTCACCCACCGAGCACCCTTTGATCAGGACTACGTCACTCCGCATTCTTCTTGCTCCCCTTCTGTCCCTTCCCTACACAACCGGATGTCAGGGCAAGGACGCTTGGCTCCCCTGGATGGACCCATTACCTGCTTCACCTTGCCCTCTGCTCCTGTCCCTGGTTATCCAGCCTACAGTGACCAGTGACAATACTGCCTTGATGTCACATCCACTCAGACTGTTTTCCCTAGAGCTGTTCCTACTGTGGAGGATTTCACACCGATTTAAGAGATGCTCCCTTATAAAAAAAAAAAATATATATATTCTCAAACGTATTCTCCATTGAAAAAATTATCTACCACGGCAACAAAATGCTTGTCTGGACCCCGCACTTGACCCTGTCCAAGGCCACAGGCCACTCAGACATGGGTTTCCTGGTCCTTCCTTGAGAAGGTCGGCCTGCTCCCACAGGTGAGCACCCTTTTTGATGGGTTCACTTTGTTTTATTGGATCAGGTTCATTTCAGAGCTTCTGTCTTACGAGTGCGTGGGATTTGGTGGTAATCCATCCCGAGGTGTGTCTCCTATAAATAAATTATTCCCTCTTGGTGGCTTCCGTTTGACCGGTTCTATTGAAGGGGGGGCAGCAAAAGCAAGCAGGGGAGGAGGCTTTTGTTAACAGGAGGAGAAAGGTGGTGCCAGCGACGTTCTGAAAAGACCTTTGAGATCCCCGAGAGCACAAAAGGGAGCAGGGCATTTTAGGGAGAAATGAAACAAACAGTAAATCATCATGCCTCCGACCCGGAATGCGTCACTCCTCACTGAAAAGAAGGTACTAGAAGTCAAAGAAAACCCTGACGTGCTTTGTAAGGAGGAGCCCAGCGGCTGGGCTCTCTCCCTTTGTTGGGTGGCATTCATAGAGGCCGTCCTGCTAATTAGCGAGACTCTTAAAAATAACTCTATGAATCAGCTTCTGGAAGCCTGAAAGCGAAGGAAACAGGACGAAGCTGAGGTCAGTTGAATCTGCACTTCAAGCGACTGAGCCTGACACCCTGTTCATCCAGAGAATACCCACCAGCTCCGACACCCAGACGTAAGGGCAGATGTCACTTGGCAAGGGGCTTCCAATTGCAAATATATCATGGTGGGAAAAGGAATCAGGGTGCTAGGGTTTGGTTCTCAGAGGTCCCCAAAGGCTCTTGTGCTGAAGGCTGGGTCCCCAGTGCAGCACTGGCCGGAGGTGACTGGTCCTGAGGATGAATCCTCAGCCGGGTTCTCAGCTGAATGGACTCAAGGAGGAGCAGAACGGTGGGAGGTGGCACCCAGCTGAAGGGAGCAAGTCTTGGTGGTAATAGAGCCTCGGGGCTATATCCTGTCCCCTGCTGGCCGCCTCCTCCCTCCTCTCTGGTTGTCAGGAGGTGACCCGTTCTCTCTACCACACCCTCTCCGCCATGATGTTCCGCCTCGCCACAGGCCCAACAGCAGTGGACCAGCCAATCAGGGACTGAAACCCCTGGAACCAAGGGCCAAAGTAAATCTTCCCACCTTCAAACTGTTCTCTTGGGTATTTTGTCACAGCAGCAAACGTCTAGCATACAGTGCTTTCCCTAAACCTGGTTATTTGGTGGATTCTGATGTACAATTGAGCAGGCATGCTGCTATGGCACAGGGGAGGGACAACATTTCGTGTTTACTGTGTTTGTTATTTGGAATTGAGGGTGGAACCCAAGGGTGCTTTACCACTGAGCCACATCCCCAGGCCTTTGTTATTTGAGATGGGGTCTTGCAAAGTTGCCCAGGCTGGCCTTCATCTTGCAGTCCTCCTGCCTCAGCCTCCCAGGTGGCTGGATTATAGGCATGCACCACTACCTCTGGCTCAGAGATGACATTTCTCATGAAATGACTTCCAAACCTCTCACAATACAGCACCAAGCCCAGGAGAATTAATAAACAGGATTAACGCACTGGGGAAATTAGTATGCTTTCCTAACAGAGAAACAAAGAAGAAAGTCTGACCCTTGCTTTTCAACAATGAGGCCTCTTCTAGTTGACTCATCCATCGCGAAAAGGGAACGAAACGTCATCTCTTCTGCAGTCAAGAAGATAATTAAGGAGCCACTCGTTTCTAAATGAACCCCCAGGGGAACAAAGCAACGGCTTCAAGTTTGAAAGAGAAAAGCAGCCCTGTGTTGGAGGGCACCCAGCCCAAGCCACGGCCCCCGTCTGGCAGTGAGTTCTGATTTGGTTTTAAGTGACTGTCACTCGCGCTCAGTGTGGGTGGGGCTGGCGTCCGCCTGATCACATCTTCAGTAAAGGAGGGGAACTGGGAGCAGTCTTCCTTTTAATTTCCCTGCCCCAAACTTTCTCGGAGACAAAGTCAGGCAGACCAGGTTAGGGTTTGGAGGTGGTCTGACCCCTAAAAGTTCCTGTGCTGGAGACCTGGCCCCCACGGTGGCCATGTGGAGAGGTGGGGCCTGGGGGGAGCTGCCCTCGGCATTAAGGACTCCTCTTGGCAGGAGGGTGGTCCTAAGGGCAAGACACGCCCTGGTGTCTGGCCTCCTCTCTCACCAGGGGCTCTCTGCCTCTCCCGCTGACTCCACCACCATGCCACTGAGCATGAGGATGGCAACAGAGTCCAAACTCATGGGGCCACCAGACCTTGCTCTTCCACCTCTGAAACCTCTTTTCAGACCAGGCATGGTGGGGCCCGCCTGTAACCCCAGTGAGGCAGGAGACCGAGGCAGGAGAATTGCAAGCTCCAGGCCAGCCTCACAAATCAGGGAGGCCCTGTCTCAGAAAGAGAAAAGAGCTGGGGATGCAGCTCAGCAGCACAGTGTCCCTGGGTTAAATCCCCAGAATCCCCCACCCACACTCATACACACCTAAACACCTCTTTTCTCTGTAAGTACTCAGCCTCAGGTATTTTGTTATAGCAACACAAACCTGATTCCAATACAGATTTTAAGTGGAAGAGCCCTTCAACTACACATTATAACCTGAAGGTGAATCTTTAGGCAGTTTTTCACACAACTCACAGGCTGCTGAAACAAAGAAGGGATTTATAGAGAGGGCCAGCCGTCCAAGCAGGACACCAAGCTGTGGATTTCTCACCTATCAGTTTCAGGTACCAGCTTGATGATCTTCAGCAGTGATAGCAGATAACTGTGCCTGAGTGCCAGCTATGTGTCAGGTACTTGGCTTGCACTTACTCTTTTGTCCTCATGATGAACTATCCCCATTTTATACGTGGGGAAACCGAGTCTGAGAGAGCAGAAGTCCCTTACCTGCAATGTGACGGCAGGGCAGAATTCAATGCATGTCTGATGACTCAAGAGCCCAAGTTGTACCTCTGCTTCTGCCCAACTGCACGAGCCACGCTGGGCTGGAGGGACTCGGCCAGCAGGGGGCTAAGGAGCCTGTCTGGACGGCTGCCCCGCAGGTGAAGGGCAGGTGGTCACTCACCTTGATGGGAAAGGTCAAGGTCTGCCCTGAGAAGGTTGGAGGACCAAGAGGATCCTCTCCTGACTTTAGAGGGGTCTGCAGGTGTGTCCTCTTCCTCTTCTCTGCTGTGGGCTGAGTATGTCCTGCACGGAAGCAAAGAGATGAAAATAAATGCTATTCCAAAAACACAGATAGGGTAGGGGGGAGAGACCTCAGCATAGAGCCGGGCCGACTGGGAAGGGAGCATGGACAAGCCCCCGTGGACACACAGCAGCCGGGCAGGGCGGGCGCAGGGTGGGAATCACCAGGAGGAAACCTCAGGGCTGAGGGGGGTTCTGGCTTGGCCCGCTCCAGAGGGTTCTGGCTGAGGGTGCGCCAGGGTGACCGGACACCAAGGGTGGGAGGTGGGGGATTTGAGGGGGAACTCTCCTCCAACTGACTGCCCAGGATTCCTGCTGAAACTGGAGTCCGCAAGCAAGAACACTCAGCTCAAGGTTTAGGATGAGTTCAGAAAAAAACAGCCCAAAGTCTCCTGGCCAGAGCTTGTTCAGGGCGAATCCTCGCCACCTGGAGGCGCGCAGGTTGAAGTCCGCCTCCCTGCAGGACGGGGCAGACGGGTCTTTAAACTGGTCAGGAAGGTTAAGAGAGGTCACGTCGCTGACCCCGACCCTGGAGACTAAGAAGGGTTTGCAGAGAGAGCTTTCAAAAAGGTAATTAAGTTAAAATGATTAGGTGATTAGGTTGGGATTGGATTAGGGTCCCTGGGGAGGGGGCTGATTCCAACGTGACCTGTGTGCTCATGAGAACAGGAAATCTGGACTCGCAGACCGCAGGGCAGCTGAGCACAGAAAGGCCGTGGGAGGACATGGGGCCAGGCGGCCACCTGCAAGCCCAGGGAGAGGCTCAGGAGCACCAGACCCACAGCAGCTTGACCCTGGGCTCAGCCCCGGCGCTGTGAGAAGCCAACCTGTGGCTAAATCCAACCAGTTGGGGCTTTGTTCTGATGGCCAGTCAGACCAGTGTAGTCTCTGAAGATCAGCATTCAAGAGCATGTGTCAGTGGGAGAGAAAAGTATCTGCTTAAAATGAAAAGAGAAATAAAAAGGGAAAGCATTCATTTCTTAGATTTAATGATTTGGTTCTGATAAGATCTTCAAAAATACAAAAAATGGAGCTGTCCTCCAGGTACCTATCACCTGGAGGACAGCTTGAGGCCAGGAGTTTGAGGCCAGCCTGAGCAACTTGGGGAAATCCTGCTTCAAAAATTAAAAAACAAAACAAACCTATAATTCCAGTAGCTCCAGAGGCTAAGGCAAGAGGATCAAAGATTCAAAGCCAACCTCAGCAACTTAGCAATAGCCTAAGAAACTTATTCTGTCTCAGAATAAAGAATAAAAGAGGCTGAGGATGTGGCTTAGTGATACGTTAATTAATTTAAAAATTAAAAAAAGAAAAGAAAAGAAGAATGGATTTTGTTGTCCCAGACTTTCCCTTTTTTTTTGGTACTGGGGATTGAACCCAGGGGCACTTAACCACTGAGCCACCTCCCTAGTCCTTTTGTTTTTAATTGAGAGACTGGGTCTAAGTTGCTTGATGACATTCCACAAAACCTGTGAACTTGCGGTCCTCCTGCCTCAGCCTCCCGAGCTGCTGGGATGACAGGCGTGCGCCCCTGCACCTGGCCTACACCAGATTTCCTTAGAATGGTGTCCCTTGTTGTGTCCCATGATCCTGTGGGTTGGGGGAGACCTGCATCTTCTGTCCCTTCCCCTCCTCTGAGTCTTGTGAACCACAAGAAATGACAAACCTCTGTCATAAACCCGTGGAACTGTGGAGTTCCACGGCTCCCGGGATAGAGCAGAACTTCCCAGAAACATCCTTCTGTTCCAGTAGCACTTCCTTGTCAACCAGGAAACACCAACCTGGGACAAACCTACGGATTCTGCTCATTTCTAATTCAATTCATGCCAGGGAAACGCCAGAGGAGCAGCAGCCTGGGTGTCCACCTCGGATTTACCATCAGAGGTGGACGCAACCAGAAATCAGGCAGGTCACTTTGCTCCTGTGTCAACTTCCTCATCCTGAAGATAACAACAATAATGCAACCCCATTTAATGTTCAGTAGGGCTAAAGTCGTGCCAACAGTTCTGCACGTCTGGGCACCCAACCCGCTCGAGGCCGGTGAGCAGTACCCTGTCCTCAGTGCCTTGGTGAAGTCCACCAGAAGTGCTGGCACTGCACCCAGGAGCAGCCTCAGACGCACGCCAGGCAGGGACTTTGAACCTGCTGGGTGAGCCGCATTGCCCAACCTCTTGCTGAAGTCACTCCATTACTACACGGGACAATGACACAGAATTACAGAAACCCAGATGGTTTTCAAGTGTCACGTGAGCTGTTCCTCCACAACTTTCTCAAAGGTGGAAATATGCTTCCACGTGTCTGAGCAGCCCTTTGGGGAGGTCTCTGTACTGAAGGCTCCACAGCCAGACCCTCTGTCCCACGAGGACATCCTCTCAGCCCGCTCGGCTTGTCTTCCTCTGCCCCCCAACATCGGAGCCCCTTTCCCCCTCTAAAGCGAGTTAGCCAGCATGGAGTTCAACTACCATGGCACAGAAGGATGCCCAAGCTTGGGGTCTGCTGGAGATGTGACAGTGTACGCGTGTCCCACCCCCACCCTCTCCTGTCTCAGGGTCTTTTCTCGCAGCAGCAGACCCCTGCGGCCAGAAGTCAGGTCCGGCGGCAGTTCTGGGAGATGGCGTCAGGAACGGGACAGGCAGGGAGGTGGAAAGGGAAGGAAGCCAATGATGGGACAGACTTGGGCACCCGGGGCCAGTCATACTGGGGACCTCCAGAGGACCCACCCAGCTGTGTGCTCCTGCTCCGATGCTGGTGACAGATGTGCTCCTCCCTACCATACCAAAGCCAGAGTGTGCGTTCACTGCGGCTTTCCCCTGGTAACCTAATCATCCTGGTCTTTGTGTGGCCTGAGTTGTGTCCTCGGCCTCTGCCCCTTTCTGGTCAGCACATCCTGCCCACCACCCTTTGTTCTATGTTGGCTCTACTTGCAATTCTTATATCTCATGCCTCTTGGCACCCCACGTCCTCTGCATGCAAGGTGCCCCTTGCAATAGTCCCTGTCACCTACTTCCTAACTCCCGCTCTTGGCTTGGTGAAGTCTTTCCTAACTGCTTCTTCCCCTCGCCCCCCCTCTCCTGTCCCCTCACAGGCGAGGACGCCCTGTTACGGTCTTTATATTTCATGCACTTTGCACTTTGCATGATTAACTAAGTAATGTTGCTTTCAGCACTCCATCTGTTCTGGGAATGCTGCGTTGTCCACTACGCGAGCCCAGCATCCAGGAGGAGCCTGGCCCGTGGCCAGCCGTCGGCGTGGATGAGAGGGGGAACCTGTGCGAGGCACACGGTCCAGCTCTGCAGGCTGTTTCTCCTCCTGTGGTGCCCTCCACCGTCCTCATGTAGAAGACAAACTTCGTCAGCAGCCATGCTCAGGAAATGGGGGTGGATCCCTGGGCCAGCAACTGAGAGACCCCTGCAGACACGAAGGCAGAGGGAAAAACATACAGAATCTGCATTACTCTAAAGGATGGTGCTGTGTGTCGTTGGGGAATTAACTATAATGAGACAGGAATACTTTCAGAGGCTGTCTATAACCATGCTGATGGCAGGAGGCTCTTTGGAAAATAAGACAATTTTGTGAACTTGTTAAAGCTTGTGTTTATTCTCAGATTTAAGGGAAAAATCCATATGGCACTAATAGAAGCTAGACAACAAAGCAATGACTTAATGCTATGGAAATTTAGGGTATAGGTGTGACAGCCCATTGTGTCTCCAAACAGCAATTTCAACAAAGACATAAAGGATACAAATGGGAAGAGAAGTTGATTTCACTTAATTTTATTTGATGGAACTTAACACTTGAACAACTGCTGTTTGCAAGACTTTGAAGAGTTTTAAACTTCTTCCTTCTCCCTAATGGATCCAAAAGAGAAATGTATCCATTTGTTTCCTTGCAAACGTTCAATTGCAGATTTGGGGGATAATAAAAATTCTTGCCTTGCTATTTAATTATTCAGTTGGCTGCTAGAAAGATGAAGTCACTCAAATGGGGTTATAACTCAGAAATGATATTACATGTTTATCTTAAAAGATAGCCATGTACTTCCAAGACAAACTAGTGGCAATCTAGATTTTTATTACAACACTGGCAATTTGGAAATTTTGCAAAAACTTAAAAAAAAAAAAAAGGCAGCCTGAAGTTCCTTTCCCTTGATATCCTTGAACATGCATCTGCAACAAACACATTCTTGAACCTTCTACACCGCACAGCCCCAGTACACTAGTTGCACAAAAGGTAACAATGAGGCATTTATAAATATAACATCCTCTACTCAGCAATTACATTTTCTATAAAAAGAGTTTGATGTATATTTAATACTAAACTTGCTTTAAAATACATACAACCCATTAAAGGGAAAAGGCACTAAGAGAAAGCACCACATTGTCAGTTTCTGGTAGAACTTTGAATCGTTGTCATTAATTATATATGAACTTTGATAGGTTCCTATTTGTTGGACACCTGGCAGGGCCGGTAGCAATCATTTGCTTTCTCTCTTTCACAGCATTCAGACCCTGGGGCCATTGTCTCTGAAGGAAATCGAGCAACACAACTAGGAGCCCACACAGATGGCTCCCACAAGAACAATCTAGAACATGTGGCAATGGCATATGCTCATCGACTAAACCAAATTAAGGGCTGGAGCTTCTGTGGGTCTTGAGGAAGGGACCTGGTTAGCAGATTCTGGAGGGGAGCTGAGCTCGACAGCAGGTGCTGATCCCCCAGGTTCCCTGTTCTGTGGGGGGCACGGCAGGAGCTCACATGCACGTGAGCAACACACTCATAAAACATCTTCTCAGCACCACATGTAAATAAATGAATAAAATAATTACATCAAATAAAAAAATTTAAAAAAACCTGCTCATTTCCAGCACCTCCAAGATACTCAGTAACGACTTTGTCTCTTTTATTGATAACAACCCCATTATTGTTAGAGAAGCAGTCCACTTACATTGATACGATGTTAGAAAATAAAGACACAAGCAAACAAACTTCACCTTCTGCCACCGGAATCACTGTTTTGGACCTGGGTGCATTTGCATCTTGATCGTGGTGTTTGCAGTCATATTTGTGTAGACACATAATTGTGTTTTACTGATAGGAGGTGACATTCTTCAAACTGCTCCAAACAGGTCTTTTTTGGTCAACAACCTTCACCTTCCCACTCTGGTACATTTTATGTCATATTCAGATTCCCCAGTTAGGCTAAAAAGACCTGCAACTCCCAGGTCCTACCCAGGAGTGACACCCAGAAACTTGTCAGCTTGTGACACCCTCCTTTCTCCTTTCCTCTTCAAGAGCATCCACTTATTGAAGACGCCGGTCAGCTGAGCTGCGGAGGGCCTCCACTTCTAGATTAGTCATCTGTGTGGCTGATTGCTATTGCCCTCTGTATCCCACAAATGAAATGGATCTGAAGGACTGCTGGGCCCACGAGGAAGGTTTTTGGCTACAATATTCCAAAAGTACGTCTATACCTACAAATGCCAGGGTGACCGTCAGTCAGCCACATGTGGCTGCTTAAATTGAAGCTTTAATAGATTCAAATTGGAAGTTCCTCCGTCACATTTTTAGTGCTCAGTATGTGCCCGTGGCTAGTGGCCACCTCTGTGCAGGGCAGCTATGAAGCGCTGTCTGGCTGAAGAAAGCTCTCCTGGACAGGCTGGCTGGAGACGGAGCCCCCTTCTCTACTCCGTGAGTCTGGGCTCAGGTACATGGACTTCCTTTCGCCAGCAAAAAGCTGGCCAACAAGATGCAGAGGCCTGGAATACGTGTGTGCACCAGGTCTTGCCCCGTGGCCAGTCAGACCCTGAGATTGCCACGCAGAGTCGAGACTAGCCTGCTGGAGGAGGCCAGCCACAGAGTGGCTTCACTCACATCCCCCCTGCAGATACAGAGGGAAGCTCTCCCTGATCATCTCAACACACCACAAGGATGGAGGCCTCAGCCATCCAGCCACCTCTGCAAACCGCTGGCCCTGGGAGTGAGGTCACTGAGCTCCATCAGGTCAGCTGAGCCCCCTTCTGACCACAGGGTAACAGTGAAGAATAAGAAATGTCGTAGCTTTAACCACTACAGTTGTCGGGGTGTTTGTTACACAGCAACCGGTAACTGATACATGATAAGAAAGGAATTCGCATGGTGTTACTTGGGCACCATGCCACCGTTTTGTCCTCTGTCCCTTCCCTAATGCACACATCCTGCCTAAACTGATCATTAATAGCTTCGCCTGGCCTTCTTGCCTAAGGTAGAGCTTTTCTTCACCAAGGCCTAGCTTGCTATCCTGTCATACAGTTCCCACTGGGAAGGCAGAATAAATATTCAATCCTTTTCTTTAATCATCAATTTAAAAAGCAAGGAGTTGTTAAACAGTCACCTCATGATGTTTTATCAGACTTTCTCCCTTTTTAGCATGTTTATGAAGTCATTAATTTTATCCACTAAGTACATTTTATTTATGCTCATTAATTTTTAAATTTTATTGTGAGAGCACAGCATGAGATTTACTCTCTCAACAAATCTTCAAGGGAACAGGATGTTAGCGTCGACAAGAAGCACAGAGTTGTGCAATAGATCTCTGGAACACACTCATCTTGCCTGACTGGTACCTGATGCCTGTGGATTGGTAACTCTCCATTCCTCGCCCCCAGCTCCTGGCAAACACCATTCCTTTCTTTCATTCTATGAATACGATGATTTCATATATACTATATCAGTGGGCATATGTAGTCTTTGGAAGTCTGTGACAGACTAATTTCACAGAGCATGTCCCATGTTCTCACATGTTGCAGAATTTCCCTCAATTTGAAGGCTGAATAATATTCCATTGTATGTTTCTTTATCCACCCATCTGTGCACAGACATTTAGATTGTCTCTACGTCCTGGCTACTGTGAATAGTGCTTCAATGAGCACAGGAGTGGCGATGTCTCTTTGAGATCATTTCAATTCAATTTTGGATAAACACCCAGAAGTATGATTGCTGGATCATATAATTTAAAAAAAAAATTTGGTGTGATTGTTAGATCAGATGATTATTCAATTTTTAAGTTGAGAGGAGCCTCCACGCTGGTTTTCATAGCAGCTGCGCCATCTCCCATGTCAACCAGCAGGTGCAAGTGTTCTAATTCCTCCACGTCCTTCCCAACGTTGGCTGTGTTTTGTTTTTTGATGATAACTGTCCCAAAGGTGGGAGGTGATCTCTCACTGTGGTTTAGCCTCTGCTCCATACCTGTTGGTCATTTGCTTGTCTTCTTTGGAGAAATGTCTATGTAAGTCCTCTTGTGTGGCAGAGTTCCTTGAATTTTGGAGATTTGCAAATACCTTCTTCCCTGTGATAGGTCACTCTCCTCTCGATTCCTTGGCTGAGCAGAAACTTGTCAGTTTGACTTTGTACCCTGTGTTCTTGTTGCCTGTGCCTTGGTGTTGTGTCCATGAAATCTTTGCCTAGACTGTGCCGTGAAGCTTTGAGCTATGTTTTCTTCTAGGAGTTTTATACCTTACAAATCCATTTGATCCAGTATGAGTGGATTTTTGTGTGTTGTACAGAGTCAGAGTCCAGTCTCCTCCTTGGCATGGAGTAGCCAGTTTCTCCAGCACCGGCTGAAGAGGAGACTGTCCTCCCCCATGTGTGTGTGTGGTTGAAGAATGTTCGTAAATCAGTAATTGGGATGCTTTTCGCTTTGTTCTTCTTTCTGAAGGTTGATCTGGCCACCTATGGTCCTTTGTAATGATTCACTATGAATTACAGAATGTTTTTTCCTATTTCTGTAGAGTTGCCCTTGGGATTTTGATACAGTGGCACTGGATCTGTAAATAGCTCTGGGAAGTACAGACATTTCAACGTTAAGTCTTCAATATTAAGTCTTCCAAAGCACGAGCAGGGGCACCTTTCCATTTGCTTGCCTTATCTAATTTCTTCCGTGAGTGTTTTGTGATTCCCAGTGCACAGGCCTTCCTTCTCCTTGTGTAAGTTTGTGCTAGGTATTTCATTCCTTTTGGTGCTATTGTAAATAAGATTTTTTCCTAATTTCCCTTTCAGACAGTCTGCTGCCATGTAGAAATACAACTCTTGTTTGCATGTCCACTTAGGATCCTTTGACCAGGTGAATTTGTTTCTTAATTCTAACATTTCTTTTTTAGAAAAATGAAGCCTTGGATGTTTCTGTGTAAGATCATGTCATGTGAAGAAAGGAACAATTTCACTTTTTCTTGTTGATTTAGATGCCTTCTATTTCTTTTTCTTGTCTTATTCACTATGCTTTTTGATGCACAATCAACCCCATTTTGGCCAGCGTGGTGCCGGTATATGCCTCCCATGTCATTTCAACACAACCCTACTTCTCGTAGAAGAAAACCTCCTGACTTTCGACACAACAAGCTTTCTCAAGCTCACCCTGTATCTGTCTTCCTGACCCAGACCTGGACTGACCCTTAAGGAGCCTCCCCTCCTTTAGGGAACGCCATTAGAGGACGGTTGGGTCGTGTGGCGCTCCTTGCGGCAGGGCTGGTAGTGCTTAATGACCGTTCCTTTTACACAAATGGAATCTGGATCCTGAAGGGGCTTCCTTTCTCAGACTTCTGCTTACATCGTGTGGTCTCAGATCGGTCCACAGCGGTTCTCCTGCGTGGGGCAACCTTCTGTTTGGCCATCGGAGTGACTTTCGGCTAGGAATGCATTTCAGAAACCCCTTCCTTCCTGTTGCATCATGGCAGGCTTCACACCAGTTCTACTTTGGGGTTTGGGATTTTGCAGGGCACTCTCTTCCCGAGTTTTGCTGAAGATGTTGACGTTGCCCGTGAGATTTGTCTGTAGTGATCCATGAGTTCTACTGACTTTCAGAAATCAAGGTGGAAAGATTAAGAATTAAGGTGCTATTAATCTCTATATTCAATCCTTTAAATGATTAAGATGAAGTGCTTCTCCTAGAAGGTAGCAAATGGTAAGCCCCCATATATGATCGTTACTTTTGAAAACAAGTTTGAGTTGGGTTTTTATCATTTGAAACAATAAAGAAAATAACACCAGAGTTTTGAGAATTATGCTAGGCATTTTACCTATTATTTCATTACATCTTCACATGAAGCCACGAGATGAGTATTTTTATTCTTATTTTATAGAGTTAAAAAGGAATGAAGGTTTCAAGAAGTGTAAGTTGGTCACATATTAGTAAGTAGCAGAGCTGGGATTTCAACCTTAGCACATTCAATCCAGAGTCCACATTCCAAATTGCTTAAAAATTGTGTGCAATTTAAAAATAATTAAAAGTACAGACACTTAATTGAGAGCAGCCCCTAAATCACCTATAATGTTGTGCTAAGTCAAGGACTGTGTGTGGGTGTCCTGTGTCAAGACTTGTTAGTGGCTCCTGCGTGTGGAAGCTGCACTAAGATTCTTCTAACAGAGCCCGTGACGGCTCCACACCAGAGTTTAGGACAAATGCCCGATTCCACTTTGCAGAATCCCTCCTGCTGATTTCTTTGAAAACCAATAATTACAACAATTAACAGAATAGCCGAACAACAGAACCCAGTGGGATCAAGAAGACCCTATTTTTCAGGACAATGATATATTCGTAGGGGAAACTGTGCCTCAGTCTCCTACTCCCTGAGAAATGGAAGTTCCCTCGTCACCAAATACGAGCAGCGTGCTTCAAAATATGCACACTTCCCCACTTTATGGGAATGATTTCATTAAAGTGTTATAAATTGAATTAAATTACCACCCATTTTTCTTTTTAAGTATGTTCAATAACAAACAAGTCTAACCAAGTGATGGGAGCACCATACATCCATTTTCACTCCATTTCTTTACAGCATGTTCTAATGATCATCCCATTACCAGACTCTAATGCTTCTGTACATTCTTGCTCTCAAAAATAAAAAAAGGAAAAAGAAAAAGAAAAAGAATGAAAGCACTCTGTCCCATCAACATCTAATTGGGACTTCTCTGGGGAAAGGTAAAAACAAAATTTAAAAGCACAATTAGGTTGCCTTGGATGTCTAGCGATAATTCTCTTAAATTCACAGCCACTCTCCCTCTAGGAAATTAACACTACTACTACTACGAGGGAGGTTTGCTTGCTGTTCTCATTTTATAGGTAGAGGATGGCAGCCTTCAGCCAGCTGAGGCAAAGCGCAGAGCTAGGACCTGGAAGGTTTGAACTTGGACGAGGCTGACACTTATGCCTATCATCTCTACTCTTTCTCTTCTACGAGGAAGAAACTGAAGACAGTGACCTACCTCTGTTCCAGAGTTGGTGCTTAAAGAACCCTCTGTCCTGAGCTCAGCCTCGGGGACCTAACCACTTCCAGGAGACCTACCTGCACATGCTGTGGGCCCACAGAAGCCACCTGCTGAGACAGAGGACAAGTCTTCCTCAGCCGTAAGTCCTCAGAGTGACTGGCAGTCATGTCCCTTTCCAAGAGGTAAGCCCACCACCGCCCAAGGCACCATGGTCTGACCCAAATAGCCAGGACAACATACTACAGAAAACCTACTACAGACTCAAATGGCCGGGACAGGGCCACCCCTGCTGAATCAGCCTCCCATCTGGGACTGCTGGCTCTGGCATCATGCCATCACCCAGTAGATAGCGCCACAAAGCCAGGCAACTCCTTTTTTTTTTTTTTGGGGGGGGGCTGGGGATAAACCCCCCCCCCCGGGGCATTTTACCCCTGTTCTTTATTCCTTGCCCCCCCCCCCCCCTCTTTTTTTTTTTTTTTTTTTTTTTTTGAGACAAGGTCTCATTAAGTTTCTGAGGCTGGACTTGAATCTGCCATCCTCCTGTTTCAGCCTCCCTGTCACCAGGACTACAGGTGTGCACCACCACACGGGAGAAGCACTTTATTGGCTCTCGGAATAAGCAATATATAGGTATGTGTTTTTTCAGACATGGGACAGCTTCAATCCAGCTTCAGGGGAAAAGAAACCGTCTGATGTGGCTCTGATGCACTCACTGCAGAGGAATAATATGCACTCAATGCAGGCTACATGGCGCCCTGGGGGGCTTCCTGGAGCTCATGCTGGCTCACAAGTCTTGCCTAGCAGAGCCCACCAGAGGGGCCCTCCTGGAACAAGGGCCCATCAGCCTTGCTCCAAGATGGTTTCCACCCCAGATGGCAAGCATTAGAAAACTGTCATTTTCAAGACTTCCTAACTTAAAAAAAATGATTTCTGCCTGTCCCCATGGTACTGCTCCCCCTGGAAACACGGCAGGCAGCGTGCAGGCTTGGTGCACACCCCACAGCTTTGCAGTTATTACAGAAACGCACACCTGGCGGTTTCACGTTAGGGCTCACGAATGCTTCAGGGTGAGTGGATTTGCAGCTTTCATCCAGGGCGAGATGAGTCAGCCCATGCAGAAGGCTGGCATCTTCCAAAAGTGGTCAGCAGACACGGCTGACAGGGGCCCTTCCTGTCCTCTGTGACACTTTGTCTTGACATCTAAGGTCAGTGACCTCATCCTTATTCTGAAGGCAGTACAATATTAGGAAAGGGCCAGGCTTGGGGGTCTCACAGATTAGGACCATCTGCCCGTTCTGCTTCTGGCCCACTGTGTGACCATGAGCAAGTCGCTTTCAAACATGGCTCTGCACCTGCCTCATGTGTGACATCCACGGTGGCAGTGAACAGACAATGTATGAAAGCTATTCAGCACAGACCAGGTGCACAGTGGCTGCCCTGGTGACGCAGATGTCTTGTCTTCCACGTAGCAACTGGAGAGCAGGATTATGCTTTATGTGTCTCCCCTGCTCCCCCAGTACTATGAAGCCAGCAGGTGCCTCCTGCACTTGACATGGGCTCAGCAAACACCTGCTGACGGGTGGATAAGGATACCTGAGTGAACACAGAGACCGCCCAAGAGCCAGAGGACACACCTGAGCCACTAATCACACATTCTGAGCAATTGGGAGTGATCTCTCCTACCTGGAAGACATTGTTATCGGGAATAACAAGGAAGCACGCAGAGCTCGCAACACACAGGCCCCTTGAGCCGCTGGCACGGAACAGGAAGGCACTGGAAACGAACTTCAGCTTTCTCCGTCCTACTGCAGCCTTAGGAGAGCAGTGGAGGCCGGACTCTGAGCAAGTATTCCATCAGTGCCAGTGCCTGCGAGCACTTCATCAGTGCCTATCAATCAACAAATGTTCCTTCGGTGCCCAGCCAATCAGCAAGCATTCAGTCAATTCCCAGAAATCAGCATCCAGGAGGGGCCAGGGAGCGCCAGGGTGAGGACCAGGAAAGAGCCGAAAATCACAGCCCTGTGACGCTCACAGACTGCTGGGAAGGATGCACCAGAGGAACTGGGTTGTGGGGTAAGCTGGGAAGATACAGGATATGATCTGGGGGTGGTGAGACTTCCTTTCTGTAGGGCTTCCCATGCCCCACCAGTTCCTTTCTGTATCCTCATCAAAGATCAGAATTTACAGGCAGCTGCATGACCTGGCCATCTGCAGGTTTCCCCTGCACACGGGAATCCGAGGAGGGCTTCAACACCTCTGACCCTGGTCGAGGACTCTGGGCTGCTGCCCTCAACACTGACAGAACTGTTCCCGCCCTGAGCCAGATTCCTAAAGCCTCCTGTGGGCTCCACACCTGCCCTCCCCGCTGCAGACATCCCAGGTGTGCAGTACCCAACTGTCAGCTTGAGTATTAGAAATCATTCAGTCACAAGGGACAAAACCCTCCCCCTCACGTGCACGCGCACATGCCCGTGTACAAGGGCTCACTGAACAGGTGGGGGTGGAGCTAGGCCCGGCCATGGCTGGACCCAGGGGCCAGGTGGCTGGTAACTGGTTTCCGCTGTGGCGGTTCTGCTCTCCTCTGTGCTGACTTACTGTGAGGCACTCCTGGCGCTCCGGGATCCGGGGCCTTCAGCAACTCTGGCTCAGGACCTGCCAGCGGCACCCCAGCAGAAGGCCACCGCGGTCCTGCTTTGCCAGTGGCTGCAGCCAAGTTCAGAGCTCCCTCTCACTGGGCCGCCCCCTCTCGTGCTCACTGTTGCAGCAGACACCTCGGGCAGCGGAGTGGTCACTCCCTACCCTGGGGGCCACAGGTCAAGGTCAGCACACACCAGGATCCTACACACTGGGCAATGGGGAGACAGCGCTCCTGCCAGTCACTCGCTGTCAGATCTCTGCTCTGCATCCCAGGGAACTCCAGCCCTCTCCATCTCTGCCTCCTGGGTCTCAGGGAGGTTCTGCCAGGTGGAGGCACCAGCGGATGCTTTCAGAACAGGAGAGAAAACCCAGTTCTCTCCCTGCTCCAGGTGGCAGCTCCATGGCGGCTGTGTCTCTGTAGGTGCCCTGCCTCTGGTGGCCCTAGCTTCTGCTAGCCAGGCCTGCCATAGTCCAGGCTTCTTGGGTTGGTCTGGACTCTAGAACTGTCACCTCCTCCCCAACCACTGGGTGGCTTCACCCCCATGTGAGACTCCTAACCCTTCCACCAACTTTCTGACTGCCTCCCAGTAGACATATCCCTCCTTATAAAACGTCTGGAGGGGTTCCTCTGTGCCAACCAGATCCCGAGCCACGGGTTCCCTAAGGGGAATCCCAGGGGAGGGAGAGAGCGCTGTATGGGCACATTGGTGTCTGTCCATGGGGGTCAGTTCCCAGGCAGCTCTTCAGCCCCTCTCCCGGGAAGGAGGGTTTGTCCTGGGACGCCAGCTCTTCCTCCCCCTCCCCTCCCCTGCCTCTGCCTCCTCCTCTTTCTCCTGTTCTTCCTCCTCTACTTCTCCTCCTCCTCCTCTTCCTCCTGTTCTTCCTCCTCCTCCTCCTCCTCCTCCACTTCTTTTCTTCCCCCTCCCCCTCCTCCCCCTCCTTCCTCTCCCCCTCCTCAGGTCAGATTCCACCCCCAGCTGCAGCCAGCCCCACGGGGTGGAACACTCCTCTGAGAGGTTGTGTTCCTGGGGCCTGCAGTGACACTGCAGCAGCAGCAGCAGCAGCAGGACGTCCTAGCCACATGCCATGTGAGGCCCTGTTCAGGGGACCCACCAGCATGCTAGGAAGCTGGCCCACCACATCTCTCTTTCACAGGTAAGGAAACCAAACACCAAGAAGCGACTTCCCCCAAGTCAGAGGCCCAGGTGTGCCCCTGGAGCTGGGCTTCTGAGCCTGCCTCTTAGCCAGGACCCCGACTCCCCCCTTAGGTGTGAGTGAGCCACTGAGGCCAGCAGAAGGCCCCTGTCTACGTCACTGTTTGGTTCCAGTGGAAAGCCCTCCTTGCAGAGGTGACAGGCACGTCCGTCTGGATCAGCAGTGACCAGTCCCGGCGGGGGCCGCAGGGTGCCTGTCCTGGGTGGGGATGCCCTGACATTTCGTCAGTGACGGAGCGCTTCCTCTACAGCTGGTGGCTGTGGGGCACGATTGACTCTCCATGACAGTCTCTGAGTCACAACAGGGGATTCAGACTCCATCTGCAAAAACCATTTGTGGCTCCAAACAATCACCATGCTCACAAGAAACGTGGCAGAGAATTCTGTGAAGATTGCACAAAACCCTGCCAACCCTCATTCCGCGCTGCCATTAGCAGGGTCTGAATGGAGGGAGGGAGCGATCGCAGGCTACGGCGCCTAATTAAAGCTAAATTTAGCCAACCCTGGCTTTCCAGTTTCATGAAATCCATCTCAACTCAGACAGTAATAAGGGCAAGCTGGGCGATCGAGGAGGGGGCTTTGTGACGGTGGGACAGCATCGAGATGATAATTAAGATTCAGAAAAACAACCAGGACCGGGCCAGATGGAACAGGCAGTCCTCAATGTGGACGCTGTCAGTGACAGCGCAGTGGCTTCATGGTGGCTTCCGGAGCCCAGGATGAGTGGCAGGCTTACGGCGATTTTCCTGCCCTTTCCTTCTCGGTGTGGCCAGGGTGTCCCGCTGCTGTCTGGAGGGGGACCAGGCTCTAATTGCAAGGCAGGGAAGGTTCCGGCTCTGCCCTTCCTAACAACCCTGTCACAGCCCAGGGGTGACACCACAGGCCTGGCTCTAAATTAAAGTGCCAGGAAGGGGAGCTGGCAGGCCATGCCAAGCACACTCTGGCCCCAAAGGCGGCTCCTCCAATTACCATGTGCCTCTGAGACTAGTCACCAACAGCCTCAGGGCTGCCAGCCTCTTGAAAGGGACACAGGGACAACCCAGGGCAGAGATGAGGACATGGTTCATAAAAACTATGTCCCCACAGCTGAGACCCACCAGCCACACGCTGCCCGGGAAGGCCTTGGGCTGCCAGGCTTCCTGCCGCTCCTCTGCTCCCAGACCTGGGAAGGACCTGCAGATGGGAGTACCACGTAGGTGGCCTTGCCCTCTGTCCCCAGAGGGACCTTACACTCCATGTATCCCTCCCAAGACCCAGACACTAAGTTAGCACTGCAACACTCAAAACTCAGAGCCCTGCTCCCACTGCCCAGGTTACGAAACCAAGACCAGGGAGCTGGTGACTGTGTCAGCACAGACGGGATCCACACTGCAGGCTGCAGACCAGGAGCAGTATTGCCTCCAGCCAGACACCCGGGGGAGTGTCGGAGTTGACCAAACATAGGGTACCCTGGTCACCAGAGTGTCGTCATGCTCAGTACA